AATTTTAAAATTCAATTAATAGATTTGAAATTCAATAATCAAACTTAAATCAATTCTCCAAAATTCATATGACTAAATTCGAAATATAATTAAAAAATTTTGACTTGAAACTTAATTTAACTCAAATAAATTCCTTAAATAGTTAAATAATTAATAAAACTTAATCAAAGTAATCAATCTAAAAACTTAAACAAAAATTAAAATCATAATCAGTTAACCATGTAAAATCGAAATCAAATCTCTTAATTAAGTTTAAGACTTAAACTATAAACTAAAATTAACTTAAATCTTAAAATTAAAACTAATTGAAAAATAAAGAAATAGTTAAATTGGATTTAAAATTCAAAATATAACTAACTAACTAATTCAATTAAAAAAATTAATCTGAAATTTAATCGGAGAACTTTAAATCAATTTAAGGGCTTAATTAAAATCATAACTTTAGCTAAATTAAACTTTAATTTAACATTAATTAATTGAGCAGATCAATCTATTTTAAATAATTAAATAATCTCAAAATACATTTAAATTTTAAAATCTAATTAACAAACTGAGCAAATCAAATTTAATAAATTTAACATAATTAATTTTAAAATACATTTGAAATTCAAATTGGTGAGCTGAGCAATTTAAAATTTAACTTTAGTTAAAATTAAAACCCAACTGATTAATCTAATTAATTAATGCAATTGAAATAATTGAAAGTGCATAAATCAATATTTCTACTAATCCAACCTATGTACAAACTAATAAGCGGCTCTCAAACACAAGCTCTCCAAACAACTGACAGCTCAAACAACAATCTGAACAAAACAAAAACCTCAAACAGCTCTCTCAAATAGACAAATTCAAACCTACTCAGACCATCATGTGTAGTCTAAACTACATTCTAGTTTATAGGGTCAGATTGTAAGACCCATTGTATAGGCTATTTATTTGGTCATAAGACACGTCATTATATAACTTCTAAAGAAGCCATAATACATATCCAATCAAGAAATATTTGGGCTAATTCTAATAGAGGTCATAAGACTCACTAATACCCTGAATTTTTTGGGTCATCTCTAATGGAAGCCGTAAGACCCACTATTAAGGCTACTTTCAAATGAAAGTCGTAAGCCCCTATCCAAATTTAATCACACGACAACTCTTAAATAGAGACATAAGCCTCAACCCAAACCAAACTAAACTAAAATTCACATTTCTCCACTTTAGTTTACTCGGGATCCCTGAGAGGAGGCAATCAATGAATGCTAATCAGATTCTTTGGGCACTACAATCAATGGTTGTTAGTGTTGGTTGACTGAAACCCGTGGTATATCTGGGACGTCGAAACCATGAGAGCTTGATCGACTGTAGCTTCACCGGGCCCATAACTAAAATTAAAACACTTTGCACATTTTTACACTCATTACACGAACTGAATATATTTCATCATTAATTGAGAGTGTTCTTCTAATGCATTAAGATGGGTAATTAAGTATGAGGGATTGCGCTCATGGGAAGTAGAACCCAAATCTAAATAAACCCTGACACTAATCTTAGGAAAAATTTGGTTAAAATGTTAAATATAATCTACCTCCAGAAAAATAAGGTGACCTTTAAGCACGTGAGAGCGAGGTTTGTACCTATTTACTATTTTTCAGAGCGAACACTACCAAACATCTAGTTGCTCACTATGTGAAGTATTTGCTATTTCAGGAAAAAAGTATTGATTGAGTATAAGTTGATTAAGTCAGAGTTGTTAGGTGCTAGTATAGTTTGAGGTACTTTTTGACAATCCAATATTTATTTATGCATTTTGATGTTTATATGTCTTATGCACTACTATAATGATTACTTTTAAAGAAATGAAAAGTTATGATTTTTATATCATATTTTATTTTATTTTGGATGTTTATTGACTCTATACTATAGTGTATGCGAAATTTAGGGTTAAGATACTTAAATTGAGGTTTTACCTTTTCTATTACACCTTAAGGCATAACACATTCAACTATGGTTTCTCGACAACCGTTGTACGAGTGCGATCATTTGACCACCATCGACCAATAACTATGCTTTGACCTCCATTGTCTGCCAACTATAATCCTCGAGCTCCATCACCAAACTACAGTCCTTCGACCAACAATCTTCTAATCAATGTCGTCTAGCTACTTTGCCACCTACACCATCAACATCAATTTTGACTCAGAACTTGTGCACTAGGATTAATGTTGCATTTTTGCCACATGGTTCTTCTAACTTCAACTAAGTATTTTGCTTTTTATTGTGTATCAATTCCCTCTCTCCATAAAAGGCACCATTTGTATTCGAAAATAAATATTAGTGGAATCATTTTAGCCGAATCATATCTTGTTATTTTTTCTGAAATTTCAATTAAAATTTTTTGGCATCTCTTATAATTCTTGCTCACATGTTGTATCCGTAGTTATTTAGGCTTTGTGCAAATAAAAATATTAAAATTTTTATCTTTGAATGTTTCGACATGTAATTGATATTAATTTAATAATAATAATGCTGCGTCCTGGAGTATTCGCGGTGGTAGAGAAATATATAGTTTAACGTCTTAGCATTGTACGAAGATCCAACGCACAAGCATATGAGAGAGAGAGAGAGTGTGTGTGTAGTGTTTATAAGAGACACCAAAATTTTTACGTGGAAACCCCTTAAAAGGGGGAAAAACCATGGGGCCTGACCCAATTTGAATGAATCTACTAGTATTTGCAGTCGATTACAAATGAGGCCCTTCCTTGAAAGAAGGCCTTGACTTTGATAATACAATATACATCATACATAGCACATTATATGGTGGGAGTTACAATATAGACATGTTTGTTTGGTTGACATGATCATAGTCGATAGGATGGAGGTCGGAAGGACCATAATAGGCGACGGAGGTTGGAAGGACCGTAGTCGGTAGGAGACCGGGGACAGAAAGACCGTTGTCTGGTGATGGAGGTCGGAAAGACCATAGTAGGCGATGGAGGTCAGAAGGACTGTCGTCGGCAGGAGACTGGGGTCAGAAAGACCGTTGTCTAGTGATGGATATCGGAAGGACCATAGTAAGCAACGGAGGTCAGAAGGACCATAATCGACAGGAGATCGGGGTCAGAAATATCATTGTTTGATGATGGAGGTCAGAAGGATCATAATAGGCAACGGAGGTTAGAAGGGTCGTAGTCGATAGAAGATCGGGGTCAGAAAGATCGTTGTCTGTTGATGGAGGTTGGAAGGACCGTAGTAGGCGACGAAGATCTGAAGGACCGTAGTCGGCAAGAGACAGGTTTGAAAGACCGTTGTCTCGTGATGGAGGTCGGGAGGATCGTAGTAGGCGATGAAGGTCTGAAGGATCGTAGTCGACAGGAATTGGGGTTTGAAAGACCGTTATTTGGTGACGGAGGTCGGAAGGATCATAGTAGGCGATGAAGGTCTGAAGGACCGTAGTCGGCAGGAGACTAGGGTCTGAAAGACCATTATCTGGTGATGGAGGTCGGAAGGACCATAGTAGGCGATGAAGGTCTGAAGGACCATAGTCGGTAGAAGACTGGGGTCTAAAAGACCGTTATCTGGTGATGGATGTCAGAAGGACCGTAGTAGGCGACGAAGATCTAAAGGACCGTAGTCGACAGGAGACTGGGGTCTGAAAGACTATTATCTCGTGATGGAGGTCAAAAGAACCGTAGTAGGCAGGAGACTGAGGTCTAAAAGACCGTTGTTTGGTGATGGAGATCGGAAGGACCATAGTAGGCGACGAAGGTCTGAAGGATCGTAGTCGGCAAGAGACTGGGGTCTAAAAGACCTTTGTTTGGTGATGGAGGTCAGCAGTATTCTTGGAGAACTCTGGGCATCAAGTGGTGGCCTGGTGGAGCTCAAGGCCTCAAGTAGTCATCCGGCGGAAGTCCGTGCCTCAGGTGATGTTCTGATGGAGCACAAATGTCTCAAGTGGTGATCCGGCAGAAGTCTGGGCTTCATGTGGTGGTTCGGCAGAAGTCCGGGCCTCAGGTGGTGTCCAGGTGGAGCACAAGGCATCAATGGATGGTTCGGCAGAAATCTGAGCCTTAGGTGGTGGCCTGTTAAAGCGCAGGGCCTCAAGTGGTGGTCCGGTGGAAGCCCGGGTCTCAGGTGGTGGTCCGGTGGAAGTTCGGGCCTCAGGTGGTGGTCCGGTGGAGTCTAGGCCTCAGGTGATGGTCCGGTGGAGTCTGGGCTTCAGGTAATGGTCCGGTGGAAGTCTGGGCCTCAGGTGGTGGTCCGGCGGAGTCCGGGCCTCAGGTGGTTGTCCGGCGGAAGTCCGAGCCTCAGGTGGTGGCCTGGTGGAGCACAGGGCTTTAAGTGGTGGTCTGGAAGAAGTCCGGGCCTCATGTGGTGGTCCGGTAGAAGTCCAAACCTTAGGTGGTGGTCCAGCGGAGTCCGGGCCTGGGCGGAGCAACGGCGTCAGGTGGTGGTCCGGCGAAGGTGAGTGCCTCAAATGGTGGTCCGGAGAAGCAACGGCGTCAGGCGGTAGTCCGGCGGAGGTGAGGGCCTTAAGTGGTGGTCCGACGGAAGTCCGACGGTGGTCCGGCGGAAGTCCGACAGTGGTTGGGAGGCAAGAGCAATATCCGATCTCTCTCTTTTTTTCCTTAGGCTTCGGGGGTCCCCTCTCAAGAGGAGAGGGAGCTCTATTTATATATTTTGGGAATAACATGACCAGTAAATAGGTGAAGGATCAAGGGCAAGTTGGGAGTGGTTGGATGGACGCCGATGTTGAATTCCTTGATCATAAACCGTTTGATGGACATTTGAATGTCTTAGTGATGTCAGAATTCAGAATAATATATAAATAAATATATAAATTTATGCCTTAGTTTTATAAAAAAAAAAAGAATTTTATGATGCTTGTAAATAAAAAATAATGGCGTAGGAGACGTGGCCGGCTGAAGGCGTACTAAAATGGCCAATGTGGAACCCACCAATAAAAAAGAGGCTGCGGGACGTTTGCGCGGCACCAAAGTGCGCCAACCAAACCTGGCGTGGCCACCTGCTGAAGTTCTGTCCGTTTTCATTCCTCTTTCGCATCAACGCATTCAATGTTCAATATATCTCTCGAGTGTCTTTTCCGATTAGATAAAGTCCAGATAATTAAATGTATATATATATAGAAGGTGTTATGGCTTTGATTTCGCGGAATTATGGCGGAAATTGGGAGGAGATAGAAGGGCACGAAGCCCCAGTTGGAACCCTAGTTCGGCGTCGGGTTTGTGCGAGCGATGGAGGGGGAGGAGGACGGGGTTCGGCTGATGGAGGAGGTGGCTGTGCTGGACTTCGACATGCTTTGCGCTGCTGTGGCGCTTCAGACTCAGGGCGTGAAGGTGGAGAGGAGGTTAGCGAAGGAGGAGGAAGAGGACCATGGAGATGCTGAGCTCGGTGGGGTTCAGAGGATGTGGGAGGGGGGTGTGCTTGGATGCCTTGAGGACCGACGGATCGCTATGGAGGCAGCGTGGTGAGCTTGGCGTTTTTTGGGCTGATTTGTGCTTCATTTGAGATGAGGGCGGTTTTATTGATTAGCTTTGAACGGTCATAGGTTTTTTTGGTTTTTTTCGTTCAGTTTGGTCTACGTTTCTCAGAAAAGATGGCCGATTATTGACTTTTCTTAATAAGAGACTTTTTTTGTTTTGTTTGAGATTTCTAATCCATTTGACTTCTAGGTTTTTGGGGTTTGGCAATTTTCTATGGGTGAAGGGTCACATGCTTTCTTATTGTTGAAATGGAAACAATTGTTTTTGTAGAGTTTCTAAATGAGAGTTAAAACTTTTGATGCTTGCAGTTGCCCTTGCTGTAGATTTGGGAGCAATATGGGGAGAGCTGGCCTAGGGCCTTGTTTTCTCCAGGTGAGCCGGTTTTCTTACCGACACTTATCCCTCCATTTTGCATATTTTAGGCTATCATAATTCCTATGTTAATTGACATGCGGAAGTCTTTTTCAATTGTTTTGAACTTTTGATGCTATTGAGGGGCATGTACCATTCTGGGATTCAGATATTTCTATTTAATGTATATTCTCTTATTTTTAAGAATACGTTGCCTTGATGTTTTACGTGATAAAGACTTCAATTATTGATAAATGTACCTATACATTTTTTTTTTGGCTACTGGAAGCCTGTTGTTACAGACAAAAAGTTCATTGATGAGCTTATCAATTTTGATCGAGATAATAGATGTAGAATCTAATTTAAATAAAACAGTCTCAGTTTAGGTAATTTTGAAGCAACCATGCCATTGGTGATGTGAAAGAATTGATTTGTACCAAGGGTGAAGATAGAAAGCATGTTTTAGAAAATGATGATATTGTTCTAAACTAGTTTGTGTGTGAAATCAAAACCATGAAGTTTGAGGGATTTTGAAGGTATCTGCCAATTTTAAAGGCAATGATGATTTCTAAATGATGGAATATGATAAATTTATCATTTTCAAAAACATGATTCATGATTTTAAGAAATCAAATGGATGTATTTTAAGAAATCAAATGGGGCCGAAGTTCGTCTACTAAATTGAGGTCCGTGACAATGCTTGCATTTAATTAAAGAATTATTGGCAATCCTTGCTATTATGGTATTAGGTTTGTTCTTACTCTAGCATGTATAGTATTGTTCTTATTATATTTCTATCTTCTAACATATTTTTAATACGCACTCAATGGCTTATTGGTGAAAGGTGTTAAGCATGTTGATAATGTGCCATTAGGCCAAAATTAAGTAATGGTAATGAAACTCAAATGCACTTAAACATTCATTGAATAACTACAAAATTAAATATAAAATTCAATACATTATGCTTAGTAATTGCAATTGAAATGGATCACCTTTTTGTCATCATCATCAATTTCCTTACCTCAACTATTTGGGGCAGCTAATATGAATTCACATCAAGCTTTATAAGGTGTTAAACCTATTTTTTGCCGAACATTTTGAACAATTTTTATCCATGTAATTTTATGTCGTCTTGTTTTATTTTCTATTCCGCCGTCAATAACTTTACAACTCATCTAAGCCAAACATTTGAACAATTTTTATCCATGTAATTTTATGTATACTTCTTTTATTTTCTATTCCGTTCTCAATAACTTTATCAACTCGTCTAATATGTACATTATCATCTACCCTTTGTTGTATGTGTACAAGCCACCTAAGTCTATTTTTGGTCACATTATCTCTATTATAACATTCTCATTTTTGGCCCACTCAACTTAGATATCAATGAATTTTTTATAGCTTAATATTTAGATTCAAACAACATTGCCTACCTAATTGCGGTTTTTATAAAACTTATCTTTAACCATCAACGATCTTGTATTATCTTGCTTTGGTGGCTTAAATGTTATTAAAATAAATAAAATTATTTAAATGATATAATATTTATAATGGCGTTGTAAAGTGATACTATGTGTGTGTGTATGAATGTATAATGAAATACATCACATTACATTTTAACCAAGGTTTAAAATTGCATAATCGGGTATTGAGACGTTTTTCTTTCGTAAGGCGAGGCGTAAGCCGCAAGGCGTTTTGAAGCGTAAGCCTCAAAATCCAAAAATTGCGTAAATTGAAAATAAATAGTAAAAGTGATTTTTTATATAATACTAAAATAATATGTTAAATAATAACATATTAACTTTCTTTTGACTATGAAGTAACAAATTGGCATATATATGAAACATAAATTGCACAAGACGTAAAGTGACAAGTGATAGATTATTTGAAACAGAATTGAAATCCAAATATTACAATAATAAAATAACATAAAATATTATAATCACGTAAAAGTATTCTATAGATTAAGTTCAGCTCCAAATTCATTCTTTCTTAGTTCCCTACTCATCCACATTCAATTCCTAAAAAAAGCTGATAGAATTGGCAACAACTCAGAAATCATCTGCAATGTCATCAATGAGGGTCTTTATTTGATTCGTTTTCATAACAAATTGATCTCTCCCATGTCCCATCCTATGCAGTTCAATGCCTCCCAATTTGTTTCTTCTTCATTTATTTCAATCATCTTTTTCTTTTATAAATATTTGTCTTCAACATAAAGATGTGAATAATATTCCAAAATTTTTATAGGTGGTAGTGGCAGTGTGCAGCTTTCAAGTGATTCTCGGAGGTGGCTACGATCATGGTGACTACAGCAAAGGAGGTGGGCAAGAGGTTGAGGCTATTGAGAGGAAGTTGTTACGGCTTAAGGGTGCATGAAGACGTGATTTGTTAGGGGCTTTAGTTTAGGTTTTTTGTAAGTTTTCAATAACAACAACAACAATAACATCAAGCCTTTATCCCACTACGTGGGGTCGGGTACATGAATCCTTTCTCTCTATTTTGTTCTATTAAAAGTCAAATTCTCATTCCAGATGCATTCCTCCACTTCGACCATCCAACTTGAATTTTGCTGATAATATCCCCATCTATTTCACCATCACTTTGAACAATAGATCCAAGATATCTAAAACGTGTACTCTTTTTAATGACTTGATCGCCCAAAGTCACAATCCCCTCACTAGGTCTATTACTACTAAAATTACACTCCATATATTCCGTTTTAGATCTACTCAAGCGAAAACCTTTAGACTCTAAGGTTGACCTCCCTAATTCAAGTTTACCTTCAACTCCCTCTCTAGTCTTATCAACAAGAAGAATATCATTAGCAAAAAGCATACACCAAGGTACATCCTCTTGCAAATGTCTAGTTAGAACATCCATGATTAAAGCAAAAAGATATGGGCTTAAGGCTGATCCTTGATGTAACCCAACCAAAATAGGGAAATACTTGGTCAATCCACCTTGTGTTTGAACACAAGTAATAGCTCCTGCATACAAATCTTTAATGATTTGAATATAAGCATTATTGACTCCTTTCTTTTCAAGAACTCTCCATAGCACTTCTCTTGGAACTTTATCATATGCTTTTTCTAAATAAATAAATATCATATGTAGATCCTCCTTATTTTCTCTATATTTCTCCATCAAACCTCTTAATAAATGTATGGCTTCCATAGTCGACCTATCCGGCATGAATCCAAATTGATTTTGAGAAATGTTAGTATCACGCCGCAACCTATGCTCCATAACTCACTCCCATAGGTTTTTTTGTAAGTTTTAATAAAAAAAATATATTAATCGGTTGAGGCGTATGCCTCACTCTAGTAAGGCGAGGCGCACCTTAAGGCGGGCCTCAACCAAGCTGAGGCGTAAGCCTCATAAAAAAAGCTTGAGGCGTAAGCTTCAAGGCTTTTTTCATTGGAATTGCGCTAAGGCGGACCTCAAGGCGAGCCTCGTATTGCGCAATTTTAAACAAATTTTTAACCAAGGTTTATATAATTCACTCATAGATTGAATTGGTGGAAGAAAATGTTCAATTAAAATTCAATTGGGGGTTCAACCGTGATTAATATAAATATTATTAAAATTAATTAACTTTATTTAAATTATGTTATATTCCTAATAATGATAAGTGATAATATGTATATGTATATTTATATATCATGAAATATATTATATTACATGAAATAAGTTAAACAAATATTACATTCCAAGTCCCAACACCATCTTGCCATTGAGATTTTTACTCAAACCAACTCAACCTCTCTAGGTTTAAGGGTTGATTGGTTCAACCACTTGTTTTTTATGGGTTAATCCCATGTCCTTACAAATGCAATTTTTTATTTAGGTCAAATCAACTTGAAGAATGGGTCACGGTTTGATTGGTTCAACGGTCGGTTTGGTTTGGTTTTCATAATCATGATTTTAACCGTCCTACTTTAACTTAAGAGTCATATCATCACCAATATCTTCATTTTTTACTTAGATCTATCTTACCTAGGTATCGCTGTATGTTTTTGTAGTTATCTCTTAAGCCATATTATTCTTACATAATATGCTTACTTGATTTAAAAGAACAAAGTTTATATTCTGATAGGAAGTACTTGAGTTCGCAAGTAACCGCAAGGTTAATACTTTAGTTCGCAAGCAATCCCACCAATAATCGGCAAAACCAGTGAGCAAGAGGGTTGATTTCAATGAGAAATCAGCAAAAGCAATGCGAGAACGTTGTAAGATGAAGAAGAAACACCAGAAACAAACTTTGATTCAAATAACAAACTAGAACACAACAAAAGATACAATGTTCTTCGATTCGAGAGGACGAAAAAGTCTCCACAAGTCTCTAGCAAACCCTAGAGTCCAAGCACAAGACAAGATCTCCAAATTTCATTCAAAATTCAAGATACCCCTTAATTCCCTCATAATCCCCTAATTAACATCAAAGGTGAATTACAAAATATATAAACAGCCCTTACATTCAAAATTTTCACTCCAAACTTTGCATTAAGCCCAACATGGGGCCCACAAGATTTCCGCCCCCTCCCTGCTGCTTTCTCCGCCTGGCATAGACCAGGACCGGTCCAGGTTCACTGGACCGGTCCAGCTTGCCCCTTCTGGGCCGGCGCCGTAACATATTCCTTATGGGACAAAGATATAGATTGTGTATAATGCCTATGAGATTTTGGTGTAATGCAAAGCGGCAGCTTATGCAGATTGGTATTCATTACTTTTGATCTGACTTACTGACTATGTTGCCCTCAGCTAGCAATTTGAATTTAATTTTCTATTTATGTTCATTGTTTTAGATCTTGATAACTATGATTGTTAACTCTGGCTTTTAAGTGGCCAATAAAGTTAAGGGAGTTTTCTTGAACTTACTTCTCCAGACCTTGCTTATTTTCATCTTTATATGGATATCCGGAAATAATTATTTTAGATATTTCCTTTTTCAGGGAACCGTCTATCTTATCCTACTAGCTCTTGCTCTGCTCAGCCTTACTGCTTTTGGCATCACCGAGCAGCATTATTTCATGTACCTGGGGGTTGCTGCTGCCATCTCAGTTGGACTGTATGCAGGCTATTTTCGTGCTAGAATCAGGAAGCTGTTTAATATAAGAGTAAGCATCTTTAGTATTGTTCATAAATCTCTAAATTTATTTGAGAAAGGAAGAAATGAAAGCAAATTTCAAACTATAGACCCTCCTTTGTGTTAGCTTCAATATGTTTTTTAGTCTAAATAGATAGGGTTTAGGGTTTAGGGTTTAGGGTTCCCACGCCTCCTATTTTTCAGGGCGGGCGGCGTGAACTCTGATTTGATCCGGGTATTCAATCCCGCCGCTGAGATGCTCAGTTGACTCCTTAACCTTTTTTGGCATGAAAAATATTATGTTGGTATGGTAGTGTAGGTAAGTTTTATTTGAAGCAAGTGGTTCTTATGTTTTTTCATCAGGAGTACAAGTGCTATCGTTTTTATTTGATGAATTAAAAGTGTTTTGTTTTAATCTTTCATCATGTTAGTAAAACCTTTGTAACCAGGAAACTGTTAAAAGCTATTCGGCAAGATTTACATGGTGGCTTTATTTTACTTTGATGAAGGAAATTCTATCAGACAATAGAAATTTGTGTTGTACCAGTTGACTATAATTCAAAAGTGACAATGATTTGTGAGTTTGCTATTTATTATGCAGAGTATGCTACATGGTGATTGTTTTCTTATGCATTAGTATGCTTTAAGTTTTGAATATCCATGTCCTGCCACAACCTGTTGCAAAAAAAAAAGAAAGGTTTAATTGTGGAATTAGCCAAAGGCCGTATGCATGTAAGACCATATTTCTAGATGCCTAGATCTGATGACCTTACAGCTGATGCTGTATTTGGCAAAGAGAAATTTAATTCTTTTGTTTTGGTTTAATAGTAGAAGTGTGAACATATGAGGCTAGGTTACACTTGCAACCAATCCTTATGTGAAAGTCCCACTAATAAATTCATTTAAGAGCTTAAGAGATGCAATATATTACCAAGACTTAAGAATTAAGATCAAATAAATCATATATATTTAAAGCATGCTCAGCAAATGAACAAGTATTTTGAAAAAAAAAATCGATTAATATTTTGGGGTACAGCGCATGCAAAATCTAGATATGATAAGAGTCACACTTAGAGAAGCAGTTTTAAGGAAAGACATACTACTTCAGATGCATGTGAAGGAAACCAAGAATTTGGAGATAAGATGATGAAATCACAAGTGATGAGTTCGTATGTTGTTGCTTGATTATGATATGGTTAGATGCATTTCCATTTGTTTTGTCAAGGTTCAAGCATAGCAACATGAATTTCTCATCCATGATAGGAAGGAATTTCCTTCATCAAAGTAATACTTTGATTTAATTGAATAAGAAATAGTAAGGAAAGCGACTCATATTTATGAGGGAGATCTAAAGGCTGCCTAAGGCATCCCAATGTCTAAGCAAAGGTCCCATAAAATCATGCAAAATGACTTAAGTATCAACCAAGTACCTAAAAAAAAGAAGAAGAAATGCAGCATACCCTACTTTGTACCTTATGTTGATTGTTTATCTGGAAACACAAACTCCCTTGTCCATTATAGGGTAAAGATCCGATAGGAATCACTTGGAATATTCAAGTGGTACCTATCAGAAACACAAACTCCCTTGTCCATTATAGGGTAATTAAATGTTCAATGCATGATATGTTGGGCCATGACATAACTTGAACCGGAATGTTCCATATGTTCCACTGTCCAGACTCCAGAGCTAAATGCTATTTACCTGGGAAAACACAACTTAGGCTTGCTTATATGAATAATATTTTCCACAGTGCGAAAATAAAAGGATATTTATAATCCTCCGTAGAAATCACAAAAAATATTAAAATAACAAATCAACATAGCTAGTTTATGTTTCTAATGATGACTATAGATTTGAAAAGCTGCATCAACTGTCCTAATCTTTTTTAAAATTTGACTCTAGGAAATGTGTGTGGTGGTATTCTTTTGCACCTTCGGTTTTTCATTGATGTTTCACTACTTATACCCATGACTTGTTTGATGAAGGTATCCCTTTTGCTTGACAAGGTACCTGGATATTCTATTGTTGTGGGTAGATGCGATCCACTCGTTCGGATTTCCTTAGGATGCACTTTGTTATACTATCAACTAACTACACTGTAGGAGGTGTATCCATAAATGATACAGAAAATGTGAATTCGTGAGAAGAAGAGGGAGAGAAATTAATTTAAATATAAGATATTTTAATTTTATAATAAGCCTAAAATTTTGTAATAATTATTTATCATCTAAGAACCAACACAACATGCCCACATGGTCTCACAACTCCATGTAAGCTCTTAATACGTGAAAAAAAAATTATATAAACAAAATAAAATAAAGCTCTCAAGTGATATGACTTATGAGACTAAATAATTTAGTTGAAATTTTCTATTTCAAAACACATACATTTTGTATTTTTAAATAGATTTTTTAATGATGAGAATAATATTTATTTTATTGGTTAATTATTTGTCTATTTTATTTTTTATTTTTTTAAATATACATGACAAACATCCCGTTTGTAAGGCCCAACTTCTCAAATTATTTACTGCAAACAGATTTGAAGGTTATCTCATTGGTTCAATTTCTAAACCGCCTAAACAGTTTCTCTCTACATTTCTCTATTAATCAGACATGTATCCCACACATCATGGGTCCGACACTGTCGGACACGCCAAAAATGTGTCTGATTAAAAAAATATTAAATATAAATTGGACACAAGTGTCTTAAATATTTTATGAAAATTTTAAAATATAATTTTTTTGTATTTAAAATTTTATTTATTTGAAATATAAAATCTAAATTTTTTATTTCATGTCTACAACACCAAATCAATCGCCCGCACTCACTACCATATTCATGGAATATTTTCATTTTCATTTCTCTTGGTGGGTCACGACTTTGGTTCACAACAATTCCTGATGTCATCTCAACATCGATGTCTAGCATCTTTACAACATCGACATTTCAAATCCATCTCAACATCAAAGTCTAGCATTGTCTTGAATTTGATGCTCGACGCTAGCAATTTCTACACCCACAACTTGACAGCGCATCTTTGTCCAATGCCGTCTTAACATCGATGACGAACACCCTGTCAACATCGACGACATACACCATCTTAACATCGACACCTGATACTTACTGCATAACATCGATGCCCAACTCTCGATAGCATTGTCGTCTCCTCTCTCGATGCCTAATACACGACATCGACACCCGACTTTCGCATCCTAATATTAATCATTTTAAGTAGAAATTTTAGTTAAATGACTTATTATTTCTAAATTATTTTTAATATTATACTTATTCAATTTTTATACACTATTTTTAAAATAGAAAAATTATAATATCATGTCCAACTTGTGTCTGTATCATATATTTTCAATAATTGACGTGTCCCATGTCCGTGTATGTACATTATAGATTGTCATTAATCCCTTATATCAAACATGAATGCTTTTTGATCAAAAATTCAGAACATAGTCAAAGCCATTTACTCCAACATTGCCCCTTATGTTCTTAACTAGGACCATGTCAAGGCATTTGGCTTACCATTGAATGTTGTCTCCAATCTACGAATCGTTCTCCACTCCTTCAGTTAAAAAAATGAATTACATTAACTCCAATTAAAAAATAAGACTATGGTTCAATATCTGATTGTCGTCAAGCAGAAAATTGATGCCATTGTCGCTGCTAGCTCCTCTATAGATGCTGAAGACATCATTCTTTACACATTGAGTGGCTTTGCCGTTCACTTATCAGTCTTTTAAGACAGTCATTCATACAAAACTGCATCCAATCAGTCTTGATGACTGTTATGATCTCCTATTTAGTGAAGAGCTGAACATAGCAATTGATTCTGCTCGTGAAACTATCTCACATGTTGTTGTTGATTTACTATTTGCTCTCTCTGCAATTCGAGGTCGGTCTCGAGGATGTGCTCCATCTCACTCTTCTGGTTGTGGTCGCTATTCTCCTGCATCTCATGGTGGACGTTCAGGACTTATTCAATTGTGCGAGGGATGTCGCTCTTGTCCAAATATTGAGTCTCAAATATGTGGGAAATCAGGACATTCTGCTCTCAGTTGTTGGCATTGTCATGATAATTCTTTCCAAGCACCACAACAAGAATACGTTGTCACATATAACACAATCAATGCAGACTGGTTTTTAGCTTTTGGTGATACAACCCACCTTACATCTAATGCTTCTTAGCTTTACAGCACACAACCTTACTCCGATTTTTCCCAGGTTCAGGTTGGGAATGGTCAGCTGCTTCCCATTGCTCAAACAGGTCAAGGAATCCTTCCTACACCATCACATAAGCTCCACCTACCCAAAGTTCTTCATGTTCCCTATCTCTCTCACAATCTACTTTCTATTGACAAATTAACTTTTGATTCTTTTTTATTCTAATGACTTTGCTATTAAGGATTCTCTAACCAACAAAACTCTTCTCCAAAGGGCCCAGTTAACATAGCCTGTGTGCTATTAATCTCTCCAACTCCTCAGATCAGTGGTCATTACACTCTTCTCCTACATCTCTTTATATAGTCTCCACTTCATCCACCATTTGGCGTCAACACCTGGGACACCCGTTGTGTCTACACGTCTTTCCAAAGAAATGCTAATCAACAAACTGTCTTCCCCCTTCTTTCATTGTTTAGTTTGTGCTCGTGCTAAATGTACTTGTTTATCCTTTTTGTTGTACCTTGAAAACTACTAAATATTTAGAGATTATACACACTGATGTATGGGGTCTTTCCCCAATTTTATTAATGCAATCCTATAAATATTACTATATGTTAGTTGATGATTTCAGTTTACACTCAAAATCAGAAACATGCTCAATTTGCAGTTTAAATGTCTTATAGAAAAACAATTTCAGAAATCAATTAAAATTCTTCATTGAGATGGTGGTGCTGAGTATATAAATAAAATCTTTCAAAATCATTTGCTTCAATTTGACATTGTTCACCAAACCAGGTGTCCCTATACTCAATAAAATGGAGTTGTCGAACACAAACATCGACATTTATTTGAAATTGTTTGTGCCTTACTATTTGATGCCAATTTACCATCAAACTTTTGGGTGGACACTCTACTCACTGCTGCCTACTTAATTAATCATATTCCCTCCAAAATCTCTCATCACAAATCCCCATGTGAATATTTATATAATCAGCCACCAACATATCATCTCAGAACATATGGCTGTCTTTGTTATCCATGGTGCCAACAAAGCTCTCACACAAACTTGCTCCCCATTCCACTCCATACATATTTCTTGGTTATGCCACTCAAGCAAAAGGATATAAATGTATTAGCATCATCTCATGTCGGTTATCTATCTCAAGGCATGTTACATTTCATGAATCCATCTTTCCTTTTAAACAGCCTGCTTCCAAACTTGCTTGTTCGCCAAGCTCTAATACCATGTTGAACTACATCACCTGCAATCAATGGATTTAAACAAGATCCTCGGCAATGATTTTCTACCTATTACTTCCATTTCCTTCTTCCCTCCCATCCCCACATACGCCAGCTTCCTCCTCTCTTGCTCCTCACCCATATCCAATTCCCTTACGCCATCCCATGGTCACCCGGTTTCAAATAGAAAACTTTAAACCAAAGCCAGTTTTTGATCTCCAACATACCATCACTCCTACAAACACCTCCTGTTATTCTCATGCAATTAAATTTCCTACTTGGAGAGAAGATATGAGTGTTGAATTTGAAGCTTTACAAAACCAAGGCACTTGGATTCTTGTTCCCCCGTCTCTTCAGGACCTCAACAAAACGTTTTGGGTTGCAAATGACTCTTTAAAATAAAGTTTAATTATGATGGTTCAATTGCCCGTTATAAAGCACAGGTGGTTGCTCAAGATTTTAAGCAAGAGTTTGGCTTTAGACTATCATGATACATTTAGTCTCATTGCCAAATTTTTGATAATTTGAATTTTTCTTACAATTGCGGTCTATCACAACTGGTCTATTCTTCAATTAGATGTTTCCAATGTTTTTTTGCATGGAGTGCTTGATGAAATTGTTTACATGAACCAACCATCAAGTTTTGTGGATTCGTAATATCTCAACCATGTTTGCTTACTTAAGAAAGCAAACCTCGGTAGCTAGATCTTCTTAGATTGAATATAAAGGTTTAGCTACAGCTGCCTGTGACATCATTGGCTTCGACATGTTTGACTTGAATTTGGTATTTCTCTTCATTTGGTGAAGTTATTCTGCGATAATTTGTCAGCTCTTGCATTGGCTAATAATCCTATCTTTCATGCTCTAATAAAACATATAGAAATTTATTGTCACTTCATTGGGGATTGTATCTAACTTCCACACATTTCAGTTCATCACATAGCTTCCAATGATCAACTTCCTGATTTGTTTACCAAACCTCTTAGCTCAGCTAATTTTTCCGAACTTTGTGACAAGTTAACAATTCAAACATCCATTGTCAACTTGAGTGGGGCTGAGAAGAAGAAGTGATAAGTTCTTGCTGTTATTGATATTACGGCTCACAGCTCCATCTGACTGCTCCACTACCTCTGCACTGTTTCAGATCTCTGGATCTTTGCCTCTGTCATCTACACCATATATAACTAACTTGATTTGCTTTTACATGATTTCCTTTATGCATATACTTGCATCTCGGTTGCTGGGAGAACAATATAGGAAGATGAATATTTCAGTCACTCTACTCTTAATGCTTCATTCCCCAAACAAATACACACATAACATGGGTTTCTTCGACTGTCAGGCCAGCATAAATATATATGCAACATGTTTTAAATTTTATGCACCCACGAAGTCAACATCTCCATCACCAATGCATAAGAGTCAACAACTTGGGATTTTATGTTTAGATTTGTTTGGGATTGCAAGGATTTTATATTTGGATTTGGTTGGGATTACAGCACTATCTTGGGAATAGTTGGGAACAATAGGATCTTAGCTCACACCTTATTGAGGAAGGCACATAGAACCCCTCATCATGGTCAAAGTCTATTGATCCCTTGGTTCTGTCACTTCTAAGAGATTGAAAGGATGCTAAAATGGGTTAGTTCTTGATTCGTGTTTTCTTGTTGGGTTTCCATCATTTCCATTTGATTACGCAACTCAAACAAGATATCATCTTACTCAATTAAACAAACATGTTTGATGCATATTCCTATCATTGCCAATAAACGTACAATTCTGATAATAAAAGGTGATGAAATAATGAGTCTAAGAACTAATGCGAAGTAAAGTGAAAGGGATCAAATGGTCCCTTGAATCTTTATGAAATATCAAAATTGTCTTCAAATCCTTAAAAAGGAATGAAAATAGTCTCATGGTGGAACTATTTTGGTTCCTATTTAAGGAATTGAGATACGAAAATGATCCTTTAATATAGTTATGGATCATTGTAGTCTTTTTCTCGCAAAATAATTATAGAATTATGTAACATGCAAGAACAAAAAACTATGGCAAGGTTTTTTCTTGTTATTGTATGTAAACTGTGGATCTAACATCCAGTGTACTCGTGCAAGGAAGGTACAGTTCCCAGCCTATGCTTGTTCATCTTTTTCTTACATTATCACTGGCGTCATTTAAATATTCCAAAATATTTTGGGTTAATCTTCTCCTCAAATCATTCAGAAGATAACCTTTGCAGCCTAATAGGTAGATATCTTCGACTGCAAAGGATACTTTGTCATTCCCCATGTTGGCTCGGTTTATATACCTTCTTCTTATAACATACTCATAGTAAACAGCTCTTTTTCATTCTGCTTTTAAATGCCTATTCATTGATTTGGATTTTGGCTCTTAACTGTCCAATTTTCAGAATTTTGAAGAGTTATTGAAATGTCCTAACATTTAGCTTTGCAGGGTAGTGGCAGTTCTTTAGAAGACTGCATCTTCCATCTCTTGTGCCCCTGTTGCACACTGTGCCAGGTTTGTTACTTAACCATCTCTTTAGTCTTTACCTTCGCAGATTTTTTATTTTTGTGCTAAGTTGCATTAGCTCATCTCAAACTTTTCTTTTGTGTAATGGTGTAAATGAGCCAAGCTTGAGCGAGCTAATGTTGTTCGGCTCAGCTCGTTAAACAAATGAGCTAAAATTATGTATTTTCATTTGGCTTGTTAGCTTATCGAGCTGACAATTTATGCATATACATCTAGAAACATACATAAATAAATATACATATTTTTACTCATATATAAAATGATCAAGCTACCATCGAATCGAACATGGTCAATTAAGATATTGTTAGTGTTTATCTCATTATAGAAACAAGCTTATAAAAATTACTCAGACTCGAGCTAATTATCGCGCTGAACATGGTTGAAAATGAACAGTAATCGATTTGTTTGAGCAGGAGTCGAGAACATTGGAGATGAACAATGTGCAAGATGGAATCTGGCATGGGCGGGGCGATACGATATGCATAGGTAAGTACGGCGAAGGAAGCAAGGAGTTCAATGTTCTCCACAAACCTTCTCTTACACTTAAAAAGAATCCCGAGTCATGTAACATGGAAAGAACTGCAAATGGCAGTGGAAATCACTCATGGAATGTGGATATCAGCCCTTCAAAACCTCTAAGTCCTGCCAATTATTCAGGATGAGAGTAGTTGACCAGATCAAATGATTGCTTCAGTTTTTAAAGTTGGAACATTCTTTAATCTGGAGCTTTCATTTATGCTGATTGGTAACATAGGTAACCAGACAAACTCTTAATTTAACCATTTGAGCTCTGAATTGTGGAATTGTAAAGGCTTTGTTGCATTGTGATTTAATATAAGGATCAATTCATTGCAACCTTGGTTGAGTTTAGAGTTTTATTTAAATATTTTTACTTATTTGTTTGAGATTGTGATTTGTAATTTTATTTTGTAGAAATATTGAATTAGGAAAAGCATTTGGAAAATTTGATTAGGTAAAGCATTTGACCGATAGTAATTCTATGACTTGCAAAGGTTTTCGCGTTCACGACGACTTTAGTTCTAAGGAAAATGGGTGTTCTAGAGATTGTAACCTAATTTTTTTTTTCAAATTTTTTTATTAGTAAAAGGAAGATATAGAAACTGCAGAAATATGAATGATTTCTATCCAGCAATGATATTTCTTTATTAGATTTAAACGATAATTTGATTTTTTAACTTGACATAGTGGAGAAAAAGAATTCATGTAGCCGACTCCACATAGTGGGACTAAAGTTTGATGTTATTGTTGTTGTTGGGAAATATGATACTGGGCATCTTAATTATAATATGCTTAGGGGTTAGTATTTCAATTTTTAGCTTATATTTTTGTTTTGTTTTATGTGCTTGTAAGTATTAACCACTTCGCAATGTGGCGAGTAAACTCCGGTTGACCTAACAGTTAACTCATACCAATTTATCTGTGCCAACAATTAAGGTTGTCATGGCCACCCATGGGATTCGAGCCGGAAATGGAAGTAGTGACGGAAGCTCGCTAATATTTTCCTCATTTTCTCACGCGCTTCAGCCAAACATGAAAATTCGTGTTAGGTCGGGTTGACTCGAACCTAAAGTGGGTCGGTTTCGGGTTCCAAAAATTGACCCTTTTGTAAAATGGGTCGGGTTCGGGTTGACCCGAACAGTGTCAGGTCAATTCTGGGCTCGACCCGTGACTCGAAATTGACACCCCTAGCAGCGTCAATATATAAATGATAACATAACCCATTAAACTATACTTCTTTAAAAAAAAAAATCAAGTAAATAATTCCATTTGTCTGACCTTCAAATTTAAAGCTATCCCAAACAAAGGCTTAAAAAAAAAAAAAAAAAATCTGACCTTAAAATCATTCCAACATTTCATTTAATGTTGTGTTTTTACCTTTAGGTGTTAGTAGCATTCCTTTTGTTATTGTTGCTGACTTCCAAGGTTTATGCATTTATTTAATTTTTAATGAATATGACACTTCCTATAATTAAAAATAAAAAAACCGTGAAAAATCCATTCACGTTTCAACAACCAAAATAAAGCTGCAAACACAGCCACAATATATAAATAATAACATAACCCATTAAACTATCCCTTTACACCATTCTATCATTAACAATTGACAAATAAAAAGTATATCACTTAAATTAAAAAATTTTGAAATTAAAATTTAGTGGGGACCGCGCGTACGCGAATTCCCCCAGCAACAAATTATGACGTGCGATCTCCTCGTTGAGGAGACGCTAGGGCAGCGCACCTCCTACATGTGCAATGGAGGCCACTAACCTAGGCAGCCAGCCTTCATGATCGCTAGCCAACCCCGTCCAGGTAAGTATGGTTGATTGAAGGCATAGGTAGGCTATTTATAGAACAGCTGTAGAACTGTTCCTGCCAATTAACGATGTGGGACTAATAAACTGGCTTGTGAGAAAACCTCTTGCCTGAAATAGTGTAATTTGAATGGTCGGCAGCAAGGATTTGGTATCGACATTTTTTTTTATTTTTTCAGTAAAGCCATCAGACGGTAGTTCTCAATCCATCAGAGAAGTATTTAAATTAATATGAATATATAAAAAAATTTATATTATAATTATTTCAAAATAAATTTAATAATTTTGGAGTTTGATCAATGCCTATCAAAATATTATAAATTTTGTTTACATGAGAAAATAATACAAGGCGATGTATTAGAGCAACAGTAAAAATGGTGTGAAATATAATAATTTAAGAAAATATTTGTTTTAATTTTCATAAAGATAATTCTTTTAATATTAATAACAATTTGATCTCGAGCTGATCTTTTTTTTTTTACTTGATATTGGCTAAAATTTAATTGATTTGATCTCAAACCAAATTAAGTTTGATTAGCAATTGACTTTATTCAAGTTTATGAAAAAAAAAAAATTAATTTTTGAATTCAGTTTAAAAAATAAATTAATAATGATTAAAATACACCAAATAATAGATCAAATAATCTTTAAAAACTTGATAAGGTAAATTTAGTGAGCCCAACATAACTTAATCTAAATATCATTGAGACACTCAAATGCCAAAAGAATAATTTACAATCAACGGAATTAACATCGGCCATATTGTGAAGTGTTTGAGGACTTGAACTAAAATTGTCAAATATCACTACAAAAATTATAAATAGGCTCACATTCTTCATATGAAAGAGGTATGAAATTGAAGAAAATTTGAAAAAACTAAGAACTCTAGAGCTCTTTTCGAATATGACACCAACGATCATGGCCTGGCCGTCAACTCCTGATCATCGTTACCCATCGATTATTGCCTAACCATCTTCTTCAATTGACCATAGTTGTTCCAAAATCATTACTCGATTGCCTTCACTCGATCATCATTGCTCATCCGTCATCACCCAGTTGTCATAACTCAATTGTCATCACTAGACAACTATCACCAAACAATTACTTATTGTTGTTGATATATATATTTTAGATATGAGATTAAGAAGAAAAACATGCTTCTATAGTCTTATTTACATAATAAATTATTTTAGATTAATTTTTTACATAAAAATTTTGTTATATCACTCGAACTTCTCTTATATTTATGTGTGGATCTATGAGCAATACTAAAAGTAAAATCTTCCTCATAAACTCAATACCCTCATAATTCCCTTAATCTATTAAGGAATTTTTACATACATAACACCTAAAACTATTGAAAATACATATTTAGCACCTAAATTTTTATATTTACTAATATACGACCTAAAACCCCTCTTTTAATCAATTCTAACATTATGTTTAAACCTTCCCTCAAAAAATTACTATCAACGACTGTCTTCCATGTCAATGGCATCCATTCACAGTGAATACATGTATCTCATCGCTTCAATGGAGTGGTAGAATGGTAGGAAAATGAAATTTTAGGTGGTATATTAGTAAATATAGAAGTTTAGGTGTTAAATACGTATTTTCAATAGTTTTAGCTGTTATGTATGTAAAAATCCCAATTTTTATTTACTAATATAGCACACAAATATCTAAATTACATAAAAAAAATATTACTAATACGAATTTATTTAAAGCAAAATGCAATTGATAGAAGATAACTAGCTCATTTTTATAATGCATTATACAGCTCATTTTAATGTATTTGAAATTAAATTAAATAGACATTTGAAAACACACTATAAATCCTCCACTTGTTGTAGTCGTATTGATGTCGATTGACTACAATTATTGTCTGGTGCCATAGGCCACCGTCACAATAAGTCTTTTATGACTGTTGAATGCCTTCTTTCATAGTGATGGTCAGTGGTCGCTATTGCCGTCATGATCTTGCAATCAATGCATCGCTATCAATCACTGATATACGCCATTGTCGTCATGTGATGATGGTTGACACCTAACAATATATTGGATGCAATAAGTGGTAGCAATTGTGAACCCATTAAGTAAAATAATCTAAACTTTTAAACATCGAGACGCCTTTTGCTATAATGAATGGAATTTATGTAAGAAACTTCGCAATTAAGCATGCTTATCCTAAAACAATTCTAGTATGAGTGACCTACTGAGAAGATACACCAACATAATAAAACTGTGAGTCTCTTAGGCCAAAGCGGCTGTTACAAATTATATCGGAGCAATATTCCAGGTGTAAAATGGGAACTAAGTTTCATACGAGACAAAATGCTATGCCATGGGAGCCACATCTTGAACCCTGTATGTAACGTAGAGCTACATGACGGGAGACACCACTTGATCTTGTAAGAGCCACTTCTAGAATCTTATATGCCTAGTTGATGATTCTGGGATAAAGATGTTGTCGAGGACGTCAATTGCTTAAATGGAGAAGATTATGAAACCTCTTAAGTAAAATAATCTAAACTCTTAAATATCGAGACGCCTTTTTGTGTAATGGATAAAATTTCTGTAAGAAATTTCACAGTTAAATATGCTCATCCGAGAGCAATTCTTGGATGGTTGACAAAACCATGAGACTCTTAAATCAAAGCGTACACTCACTTATTTCCTTGAGTTTACTGTTGTTCTCTGGTTTAATGAATATACTAACTTATTTCTTAGAGTTCACTTAATAACTCATTAAACTATACTTCTTTAAAAAAAAAACACACTAGTCTAATCTTATTACCATTCCAATATAAAAAATTTATATCTTTTAAGTTGATAAATTATTTAATTTATATTTTTGTGGGAAACTCGCCTACGCGAATTCCCCCAGCAGGAGACCGCTAGGGCAGCGCACCTCCAAATGTGCAATCGAGGCCACTAACCTAAGCAGCCAGCCTTCCTGATCGCTCGTAAACCCTGTTCGGGAAATTATGGTTTACACATGGCATAGGAAGGTTATTTATAGACCAGTTGTGGAACTGTTTTGTCAATTAACGATGTGGGACTAATAAACTGGCTTGTGAGAAAACTCTTGCCTGAAATAGTGGAATTTGAATGGTCGGCGGCGAGGATTTGTTATCGACATTTTGTGTTTTTTTTTTCAGTAAAGCGCCATCAGACGGTAGTTCTCAATCCATGAGAGGAGTATTTAAATTAATATGAATATATATATATAAATTTATTATAATTATTTCAAAATAAATTTAGTAATTTTGAAGTTCGATCAATGCTTATCAAAATATTATAAATTGTTTACATGAGAAAATGATACAAGGCGATGTATTTTAGAAAAAGTAAAAATGGTGTGAAATATAATAATTTAAGAAAATATTTGTTTTAATTTTCTTAAAGATATTTTATTAATATTAATAACAATTTGATCTCGAGCTGATCTAACTTTTACTTGATAGTGGCCTAAAGTTAATTGATTTGATCTCAAACCAAATTAAATTTGATTAGCAATTGGCTTTATTCAAGTTTTTTTTTAAAAAAATTATTTTTGAATTCAGTTTAAAAAATAAATTAATAATTATTAAAATACACCAAATAATCTTTAAATGCTTCATAAGAGAAATTTAATGAGTCCAAGATAACTTAATGTAAATATCATTGAGACACTTAAATGCTAAAAGAACGATTTACAATCAACAGAATTAAAATCAATCGTCTTGTGAAGTGTTTGAGGATCTTAACTAAAATTGTTAAATATCACTACAAATTATAAATAAGCTGACATTCTCCATATAAAAATGAATGAAATTGAAGAAAGTTTGGAGATCCTAAGAACTCTAGAGCTCTTTTCGACACCAACGATCATCGCCTAACAATCCAATACCTGATCATCGTCACCCATTGATTATTGCCTAACCATTTTCTTCTATTGATCATTGTTGTTTGACAATCCTTATTCGATAGCCTTCACTCGACCGCCATTCCTCATCCGTCATCACCTAGTTGTCATAACTCAATTGTCATCACTAGTAGGGGGGGGGGGGATTAGGCAGCTGGTTAGTGAAATAAGTAAAAAAAAAATAGGTTTACCAGTTCATCTCATATTCTCATTTGCCCCTTTCACGCAAACTCTCTGCTTTCGCGTTTCATCGGGAGACGCCGCAACTCGCAACGAGATGACCGACGGCGGCGAACGACGACCGGAGACGGCGTGTCTTCTCCTCCCCTGCCTCGACCCGACGACTCTCACTCCTTTTGCATCGACTTGCTCGGCCGGGAGTCACGCAATAGCTATACAGTCGAGAGGTTTTTTATTTTTATTTTTTCATTTTGCTGCTAGAACAAGGGAGTGATATCTCATGAGTCATGACCTGCAATTGATATTAATATATTTTATTTTATGAAAAGATGGATCATGCCTTAGTTTTTTGCTAGAAGTAAAATATGAAAATTTGAGAAATTTTTTGGGGATGTTTGGCCGGAATTTGCAAAGGAACAAATCTATTTTATTTTGTTTAATTTTATAAGTTTTATTATTTGTTTCTTTGCATTTATAAGATTGATTTAATAAGTTTTATTTATTGATTTTTGAATAGATATATAATCAGATTAATCTTAAGGCATCTTTGAGTTGGAATATTATTGAGAGATATTTCAAACGATCTTCAGTTTCAAAAATATCAAATGACAATAGCAATCAGGTTGAAGATCATAAAGAAAAGTGTATTCGAGTGGATCTTGATTTACCCAACAATATAGAAGTAAGTTTTGAAAATCTTCCATCTTATCCAGGACTACGAATTCTCAATGTTGATTTTAATCCTAATATTTGGGATGAAGTTCATAGAGTATATTTACAACAAAGGTCATTTCAACCTCGTAGTCATGATTTTTCAAAAACTAAATTCGGGATGAAAAACAAAAGATTTAATCATACTTGGTTTGACAAGTATTCAAATTAGCTAGAGTATAACATAAGCGAAGACAAATCATATTGTTTTTATTGTTATATGTTCAGAAAACTAGGTAGAGGAATGAAGATGAAGAAGCATTTTAATAAAAATGAATTTTCAAATTGGAAAAAAATAAACAAATTTGATCTTTATGTAGGAGGTCATAACAGTGCGCTTAATAATGTTAGAAGTATTTCTGAAGATATACTGAAATAGAGTCAAAATATTGGGTTTGTGTTTCAAAAGCAAACAGATCAAGCTACATCTACATACCGCATCCGCCTCAATACTTATGTTGATTGCATAAGATTTCTTTTGAAGCAAGGGCTAGCTTTTCGAGGTCATAATGAGTCTTCTACATCCAAAAAAATCAAGATAATTTTCTATAACTGTCGCAATTTTTATCATGGTCAGAAACTACAGCAAATAGTCTTAAATTGGCGACTGAACAACTCCTATCAACATATGGTTTGAGTATATCTAGAATACGGGGTCAAGGCTATGATGGTGCTAGTAATATGAGAGGGGAGTTTAATGATTTGAAAGCTCTATTTATGAATGAAAATCAATCTGCACATTACATTCATTGTTTCTCATATCAACTTCAATTAGTATTGGTGGCAGTGGCGAAAAGTCATGTTCATATTATTTCGTTGTTTACTAACATTTCAAGTGTAATGAATCTTGTTGGTGTTTATTGTAAGCATCACGACCAAGTTCGAGAAATACAACTTGAGAAGACATTAAATGAATTACAAAGTAGAAATCTATTATCCGGGCAAGACTTAAATCAAGAAAATCAATTGGATACTTATATCATGGATATGTGATCTGATGATCAGTTCACCTTATTAAAAGATGTTGGAAGTCTTGTCGAGAAAATTATCCAAAGTAGGAAGGATATAATATATCCTGTTGTTTTTAAACTACTAGAATTGACATTGGTATTACCCGTTGCTACAGCAGGCGTTGAAAGAGCATTTTATGCCATGAATATTATAAAAAATTGGCTGCGAAATAGGATTGGCGATCAATGGATGAATGATTTATTAATTGCTTATGTTGAAAAAGAAATTTTGGATTATATTGATAATGAAGTTATCATTCAACTCTTTCAGAATATGAAGATTAGACATTATAACTTGTAAGCTGTTTACTATCTTATATTTAATATTATATGTTTTTGGATAATTATTAATAATTTTTTTTTTTTAAACTGCCTATGCCGGTCCCAAGTCCGAATGAAAAAGGTTGAGAAAAATTTTTACTAAATTAATTTAGGCCCCCCATTGATAAATTTTATGGCTCCACCACTTATCACTAGAGAACTATCATCAAATAATTACTTATTGCCGCTAATATTTATTTATTTTATCAATGTAATCACCACTTATCCAATATTCTCCACCATGTCTAGCTAGAATCAAAGAATCACAATATCAGTAAGTCCTGCCCATGCCACAAAAGTGGAAGTTAGAGCCCGCCTCTTGGATGATATGTGAGTCTCGTTTAGATATTAATAAAAAAATATAAAATTAAGCACTTTAAAGTGTTGTTAATAATAGAGTCAAATAAATTCAAGACCCTCTTAAATCTCTTAATTTATTAAACATATTTGGGGGATTTATTATATACTATAATATTCTTATGTATTTACATATCTGCATCTAAATATTTATATTTACTAATATAACACATAAATATCTAAATTCCATAAAAAATATTACTACTATTAACTTATTTAAAGCCCATTGTAATTGACAAAAGATAACAAGTTCATTTTTATATTGCAACATGTAGCTTATTTTAATGTATTTAAAAATAAATTAAATTGACATTTTAAAACACACTGTAAATCCTCCTCCACTTGTTGTAGTCGTATAGATGTCGATCGACCACAATCATTGTCTGCTACCATAGGTTGAAATCACCATAATTCTTTATGATTGTTGAATGCCTTCTTCATAGTGATGGTCAATGACCGCTACTGCCGTCATCATCTTGTAATCAATGCACTGCTTTCAATCACTGAGATACACCATTATCGTCATAGCGATGATGGTTGACACTTAACAGCATACTGGATGCAACAAGGGGTAGCAATGAGCAACAATGGGTAATGATTGGGACCGAATTATCTCATACAAGTTATGTTTTTGAAATTCGATTAAATCAATGAATTTCAAATATATTAAGAGTGAATTTGATATTGAAAATACTATGTCTAAACCATCCAAATTTCAAAACTCATGTATATATATATATAGTCAACAGCCCCTACTATTACAAAAAAGGGAGCAAAAGAAATGGATAAGGAAAACCGTGGAGAACTCCAATCGTGTGGTCACCATAGGCCAAAAGTTTTCAATCAACCAAAGGCTTCTATCCCAATCTATCAGTTCAGTATTCAAGTCCACCATTCGAGCACCTATCTTGATAACTTCAGAGCAGGAAGAAGGTATCGCCTCCAGCTTTAATGGCCTCCGCCACTCTCTCCACTGCTGCTTGCCCTTCTCAGGTAACTGCGGCTTAAACTTATTATTCTCTCGTTAAATCACTAATCTGGCAAACTCATCTTCAGATAATAACATGAGCTCTTCTTCTCTGCCATAAAAACCCTATTCTGATCACATAAATTCTGCGCCTTTGATATATCCTACTATTTATCGAGCAGCTCTGCTCCAGTAAAAATGGAATTTATGCACCATCGCACGCTCTGCTCTTCAAGCCTACAAAATTTTTGAGCTTGGGGAAGGACAGGAGAATGAAGATCGCATGCCAGGCTACAAGCATTTCAGCTGATAGGGTTCCAGATATGGGCAAGAGGAAGCTCATGAACCTTCTTCTTCTTGGAGCACTTTCATTGCCAACTGGAGCGATGCTGTTTCCTTATACCTATTTCTTTGTTCCTCCTGGGTGAGAGCTGCAGATTATCCTGTCTTTCTATTGTTTTTAATTGGTTGCTAATATGTTTAACTTTTACGGCAAAAAAAGGTAGGAAAACACCTCAAGAAAATTGAGGAACAAAATAGTGAGGAAGAAGCTCACAAGGGACAAGCTAAATGAGAAGCCAAGATACATTAGAGTACCCAAACCTAAGAACAAAGAAGAAGACAACAGAGATATAGACAGATCTAGCAGAAATATATTTAGGGGAAGAAAAACACATGTTTCCAATTACAGTTCTTAGGATAAAGCAAATTCCTCACTGCAGGCCCATGGCGCATCTTATCCCTTAGGAGAGTGCTTCGCAAAACATAGTGCATTGATTGAAGTTTGGATATATGGAAATGAGATCATTTCTGTCCAACAAATAGCCCACTAAGCAAAACACATTCGTAAGTTCCAGCTTAGCGCAGTTCCAACAGGAATTTCGTAACTTCGGTAATTTCTCCAAAGAAAATAGAGCGCTTAATGAATTCTTCAAACTTGAAGCAGAGGCCTAATCCGGACATATTTGTTTTATTTGTTTGCATTTGAGAAAAATTGTGATTTATACTTTATAGGCATCTTTTGTATAAATTATTTTTACTCAAGAAGTTAAGATTGATGTAGTTGGATCGTCGGAAGAATCGGACATGCTTGAAGGATTTAATCCCACTCTAGGGAACAAGGATAAACTCAAGCTTAAAGCTTCAAAGAGATGTAATATTCTTCATTCAATGAGCAATCCTACTACAATACATACCTATATAAACTAGCTATAGAAGATTCTAGAAAAACTTATAACAAACTAGATAAGATATCATAAGGAACACTTTAAGCTTAAAATGCTCCGCATCATTCTCCCCTTGCATCAAAAGGGCTCGAATCTGTTGAGGCTTGTCAGTGGTAAGGAGATAGGTGTAGAAGTCATACAAAAAAAAATCCTCTTGTGTCAAATATTTTGCATATCGGATACAGGCTCACAAGCTTGTTCGTTGATGAATCTTCACCATTCCCACCATCTTCTAGCATAAAGTATAAATACCCATCTTCAGGTCCAAAAAGAATTTGCCTGTCATGATGTTCTGTATATGGAAGCCCCATGGTGAAAATCCTTTTTTACTTCAGAAGGGAAAGCAGATGTTGCCTCTGAAGACATTGTCGATGAGGAGCCATTGACAGTGAATTCAGAAATAACACCTTGATATCTTCCAAAACAACTCGTCGTTTGTGTCAAACACCCGTTACTAGTGAAATTTGGATGAAATGCTAAACTCATTACTCCGTATGCAGTATAATAATGAACCATGTCATTTATATCTAGAAAGTACTTGACTGATTAAAATCCAATGTCCCTCCTGATTTGAAATTGAATGGACCATGCTCATAGACGAAGCCGTCAATGCTAGAGCAGCTTGGGTCCCCGTTCAGCCAAAGTACCAAAGGGTCTTTCTCCTGATTCCGCTCTGATTCCACGAAGTAGTAGTATAGATTCTTCCCGTGGTTCTTATCAATTGTCACATACCCAGCGTAATGCTTCGAGGGAAAGTTCCCTTGAAGCCAGGCAGGTGGGAGACCAAAGCGCTCTCTAGCGCCACAGAGATTAATGATGCAGTGCTTACGAGGAGCAGCAATATTGATGTGAAATAAGCTCCAAAACTATCTGAAGGAAGTTCAACAATCACCTATGTCAGCTTTGCAATGAACTTGGAAGGTCCAACCATTCTACCTTCTTGGTTCTCAAATGACTCGGAAGCAGTCATCTGCATATTCGGTGGATCCTCCTCATCGATGTCAGCCAAGAATCGCTCCAACTTTTCTTCCCTAGCTCCCATATCAACAATACCAGGCCAAACAAATTTAGGATTTGACCCTTCATTGACATTACGTCGAGCAGCTTGGGAGCATTGCACAGGATCAGCTTTGTCAGTCGAATTTAGACGGGGCATTTTCACACCTGCAGGGAAAACGTTCCCAATACCACTTCCAATGGCTTTGCCACACACTTCAATACCATTTGTATTTATTTCAGCAATGCTAAGGGTATGAAGATCATTACATACCTACGTAAAATGGGCCTCATGTGAAGTTGCATTGATCACATAATCCACTGGATATATGTAATCAACATCTCCAGTCCCAGCATAACGTATGTCATCACGACCTTTATCCTCACGGTAAGTTTTTTTCGATTTCCTCTGGGCAGTCTCTTGTGATTCTGCAGGTTTTCAACAGTTGAGAACTATCATCAAAACTTGTACTCGATAAGGGAAGATTAAGCTCAAGCTCTTCTCCAGAGGTATAAGCATATTCAGCAAGATGTAAAGATGCCATTTCAATTATGGATGCCTTGTTCTTGGATATTTGCTTTAAACCTTCCATAGCTTTTCCCTTTGATGCATCCTTCTTCTCTTCAAGAACTTCTTATTTACTGTTTTGAGATTGATCAGCGACAACATGGCACGGAGTGCAAGCAATCTCTTTATTTTTCTATGTCTTCTAAAAGGCATAGTTGTCGGTGTTTGATCTATGGGAGGCAGAGTACATTTTCTTCCTTGATCGAATATCATCATTCCCATTAGATGATACAAAGGCACTCTTGAATTTATTGTATCTTGATACTTGCTCTGGATTCTGGGAACTTATTTGACGGGCGGGAGCACATGACAGATATGGATCGAAATGCAGAGAGGAACTGCAAGATTCGGGATGCGAGTTAGTATCGGGCTTATTGGGGAAGGAACGGGACGATGCCGAAATGGCCGGATTGAGAGCGAGCGGCAATGGCGGATTGACAGCGGTGAAATCAGATGGGCTGAAATCACGCAGAGGGTCGGAGAAAGAGTTGGGAGCGTAGGACGTGGGTCGCGAACAGCGGCAGAACCGTCACCGAAGTGTTGGAACGGAAGGGAATCCCGCCACCGGAGGGGAAGCTCTAGCGGAGGGTAATCATTAATGACGGTGGGAAAATGGGGGGACTAATGGCGTTCGCGTGAAGCGGACGAGAGGAGCGAAGAAGAAGACGCCGGTATGGTTGCCGGCGGCATTTGAATTCTCCTTGGATCGAAGGTTTTTATCTATCCGATCAAGTGATTCATTCACTTGAGCTTGATAAAAGGCAATACAACTTCGATCATCGTCGACAGCCCACCTTTCTTGGCATCGATCGTCATCGACCTCCAATCTTATTCTTCGGCTTTGAGCGTCGTCGACAGCCGAACTTCTTCTGCAGTCCATCGATCTTCACAAGCTCCAGGCTCTGATACCAAACTGATGTAGTTGGATCGTCGGAAGAATCGGACCTGATTGAAGGATTTAATCTCACTTTAGGGAACAAGGATAAACTCAAGCTTAAAGCTTCAAAGAGATGTAATATTCTTCATTCAATGAGCAATCCTACTACAATACATACCTATATAAACTAGCTATAGAAGATTCTAGAAAAATTTATAACAAACTAGATAAGATATCCTAAGGAACACTTTAAGCTTAAAATGTTCCACATCAAAGATGAAATTCTTTAGAGCCAGGCACATGAATATCTTTAATTTTCAGGAGAAATTATTATGTGAGGAGTCCAGATGAGAAAAAACATCTGGATTTGCTACGCATTTGTAGATACTCAGCAAATACTTAGTTGTGAGCATTTGCTGATTTGCTGCGTATTCACTGAGTATTTACAAATATGCAGCAAATACTCAATAAATACGCCACAATCTGAATGGTTCTTCCCGTCCAGACCCTGCACAGAATAATTTCTCAAATTTCAGGGTGCTAGGATTGACTACCGGGGCATGAAATAAAGAGAGACAAAACCGCCATTGGAGAGAAAAAAGATAGAAATATTATCTAAAAAGTAGCCATCAAACTTCCATTACCAAACCTGATTAGCACTGTTGTCATTAAGCGTCAAATAACTCAGACCTTGCTAAGGCTTCGTTTGGGACGAATTTTTTATTGCTTTCTAAAACGGAGTTTTAGTACAAAAATAAAAAATTTTGTACTAAAACTCCGTTTTACAAAAGCAGTAAAAAAGCCGTCCCAAACGAAGTCTAAGTTGTTGCCAAACAACTTAGACATCGTTGAAGATTCAACGTAACTGCTAAACTGTGCTGCTCATCGATTTACTTTCCACTGACTCTAAAGTACATTTCTAAGTTGGGAAATTTAAATTTTAAAGTTTGCTTTCTCACCCATCTATTCTTCTAAAGACGAGTTTGAAAACTGTTCTCATCCTTACCATACCAGATTAATCAAAACTAAGCTTAAACCATCCTCAGAAAAAGTTTGCTCTCCCATCTATCTCTGTTGTTTCGAAGTGGAACATGTTAGCGAGAAGCAGGACACATTAATATCAATTAGAACGAGATTGTTTACCAAATAGCAGTGTCATTTAATTATTTTACTATGTCATTTTGGCTATAGTTTTATGGTTTCAACATAATTTTTTGTTTTGTAGTTGAAAGAATCATATCAGAATATCTTGATACAAAAAATTATAATAATAGGAAGGCATTTGTTCAAAATAGAAGATAGTCGGTATAAATTAAGAGCATTATTTTCATAAGATAAAATTAAAATGTCGGGTGGTTAATATCAAATGTCTTCTTCTTTTTAACAAATATGTTTATTCTGCTAAATTTTTTTATCATGATATTATAGTATAATTCTTTTTTATTTTTGTTCCTAATGTTGTCATTGGGATTAAATGTAGTGGGTCAGGTGGTGGTAGCGGAACTTTTGCTAAAGATGCCCTTGGAAATGATGTTGTGGCCGCTGAATGGCTCAAAATTCATGGACCCGGTGATAGAACTCTCACTCAAGGATTAAAGGTAGACAATACCAATATCCTCCATATATTGTCAACTTGAATTTCTGATGTCACTTGGCAGGTATGAATTAAAAATGAGAATTATAAAGTGATAAATAGTTAGGATAAGGCTACTAATGATGATGATGGTGACTTATTCTATAGTATGAAATTTGTTGTAATTTAAGCTTCGTTTGGAACAGCTTTCTTACTGCTTCGTAAAGCAACTTTCTAGTCCAAAAATTAAAATTTTTATACTAAAATGTTGCTTTAAGAAGCAGAATAAAAGTCGTCCCAAACGAAAGCTTATTCTAATATAGTACCACGCTTTAACAATTAAATAAAGGCAACAAAGCTGTTTAAGCCCATGCGTGAATCATTGTGCATGTGGCAGTTAACATACACGGCAGCTTATATCTATGCAATTTTTGTTATATTTATATGTTTTATGACTATTTCTATTGGCATACATTAGTTGTAATGCAAATAAAAGATACTTCAATCTAAAATGAGTAAGTTTTCAAAATATGAGTGGATTTACTATAACTTAACTAATTTCTCTAATTTTTCGAATCGGTCATGTAAATTAATAACCTAAAACAACCTTTTTTTGTAGTTAATCTACTTAAACTTTGTCAAGAGTAATTTATATTGTATTGAAGTTTATAAATATTTAGCATCTTAAATAAGATATTTCAAGTGATATAGCCCTAGTACAACAAAGTTTGATGCCACATCAACTGCTAGATGCATATTAAGTTGGTAGTTTTTTAACTATCGATTTATTTAATACCTTTATTTAATTATGGGAATCAATTGAATATGTATCTCTTGATCACAGGGAGATCCTACTTATCTTGTCGTAGAGGCTGATAGATCTCTTGCAACCTACGGAATCAATGCTGTCTGCACCCACCTTGGTTGTGTTGTTCCATGGAATTCGGCCGAGAACAAGTTCATCTGTCCCTGCCACGGATCCCAGTATAACTACCAAGGCAAGGTTGTTAGAGGTCCTGCTCCTTTGGTAAGCTCGCAAACCCTTCTTTTTTTGTGCTCTTTGCAACTTTAGGCTAGCGTTTAAATTCTTTTATCACGCCTTTTTTGTTTTTATTGCTAAATAATTTGAATCTTACAAGGCAAGACTGCTTGTTATCATTCACTAGTGCCATTGATATGTATCGTGTTTCTTACATTTCAACATAAAAACTTAAGGAATAGTTTGTTTTGAGGGTTGAAAGCGTTTGGAGCTGAGTTTTGGTTTTGATGAAAGTAATGGGAACTGAGTTTTGGAACTGAGGTTTGATTGATATATTTTAAATGAAAGTGAATTCATATTAGTGTTTGTTTCTTTTGAGGTAAGTGGTTGAAACTCACTTCTAAAAGCAAGTTCAAAAATTGTTTTGTAGAAAGTGAATTTCATTTTTTGAAACTCACCTCTGTAAAGATGATAAGCTAGTCTCAATTTTTTATAATAATAATAATATAATATAAAATTAACGAAATGATTGTTTAGAATATTATTTTTTACTTATAATGATGATGAAGATGGATAAAAATGAAACTCGCGGTAGTCTAGATTTGAATTTATAAAAAATAAGTTACCACAAAACAAATAGATATTAAAACTTTTTTTTTTAATATTAAAACTCATTTCAAATACCTTATATTCGAAATTAGGTTCCCATCACTTGCAAACACTTACGTTGAAGCAAATTGGCCCCTTTTTTTTTTAAAACAGCCATCGGCTAAAATTATTAAAAAACAAAGCAACTACTTATTACAAGCATTATTAGATTCCTCCTCTAATAAATCACAAAACAAAGGAGGAATCAAACTAGGCGAAAAAAAAATCCCAGTAGAAGTCGCTCAATATGGCATAACTAGCACATAGATTAGCTAGTTTATTACACTTCCTCTCCACCCAGTTAAACAAAACATACCTGTGATCTTTTAAGAAAACCAATTCATCTCTCCATTTACCTCCCAATTCTTGCAAATATTTGATAACATTGAAGTTATCACTTTCTATGATTATACCTTGATATTCATGCATCCAATTCATGCATCCAATCTTTGAGAATAACTCCAATGAGCCAAATAGAGAACAGTTCAAGATCTCCAATATCCCAATGAGTACATGAATGACCATATGCCAACATAAATCTCTCTTATGTTGAAGCAAATTGGCCCTTAGGCGTGGAAAAAACCTTAATATTTGCTTTATGCTTTAAATAGTGATATAATAACTTATCAGTAAGTGCTGTTGAATTGGTAACAATATAACTTTTAATAATAATGATAGTAAAATAATAGAAAATTAATAGGATTACTGAAAAAATGCAATCCAAACAAAAACTGAAACCGAATTAATTGAAGTCAGCTGATGCAAACAAACAATCATCATTGATCATCATTTAAGCTCACTTTCAGAACTCAATTTTGTTGTGTAATGGTTCGGTTTTAGATTAGATTATTCTTGCATGAGATAACACTTATATAAAAGGCCTATAAATAGAATGTATAGGTTGATGTAAAGAAGTACCCCTTGTAAGCCCAAGAGTTGTATTTAATAACGGAATTCCAAATTCCTTTCATTGCTCTATCCCTCTCCTCCCTCTCGCTCTCCCTCGAGCAAGATTCATAACAAATTTAACTGAAGTCAGCTGATGCCTTCTCTATGATTTCCAGGACCCGACACTAACTCCCGGCTCTTCACTATGACAATATCCCAACCTCGCTCTTGCCATTAACTTTGTTTTTCATGCTTGCATGAAGCATATCGATATTGATTACCATTTTATTAGCGAGCACAACATCTCTGTGGCAACAACGTTCAACAAATCAACTCCTTCGGTCAGCCAGTCCATACGTTCACCAAATCTCCCACCTAATAGTGGATTTCAACAACTAAGAAACTAGCTAACAATCCAATCTTGGATTATCACCTTGCTTGACGGTAATAACATCACAAAACAACTTGCGATCAAAACATCCAATGGTCAGGATCTTGTAGACAATGGAGCAGCCACCACGTCTGCCAGTCTCATCTACACGACGAGATGAAAACAGCTCAATTCATCCCCATCTTTCAAGCCCCACAAGAATTATTCCTATAAATACAACCTTTTGCTATATATGTGATCTCTATGTAAAAACCCGAGCATGCAGATAGCCCTCTTAGCCCTTTCTACCTTAGCGTTTGATGCTATCTTATCTTCTATCTCCCTGTAATTTTTGAAAAAGAATGAAATGAGGTCCTGCTAGCTTTCCTTTTTGAATTACCCAAGGATGCTTTAACAATAATAATGTTGTGACAATATATTGTCTAAGACCTATTTAAGTTACAACGCCTAAACCTTTGTCCAAGGGGTATGAGAATCTAATTCTAAACAGTGTTACATAAAGTAGTTATTCATTAATAAAGTTCCCTTATCATTAATTTCATCAGGATAGATTACAAGATCTGTCCAGCCAAGCTCACCCGGATCTAGCTATAAAAATACAATCAGATCGGCTATACTAGATAAATTCATCCATCGGTCAGCGAAAGCACTTTTAATAGCTAATTTGAGCGTGGCAAATCTAGTAAGATAGGATATTTGGTAATGTTAGGATGGATATTTGGTAAAATGAGGAAGGATATAATAAAAAATAACTTTACATAGGGATGCTAGAGAAGCATTTATTTGAAGATAAGATTAAGGTTTCGTTTGTGACGGCTTTCATACTTCTTATTAAAGTGGTTTTTTAGTACAAAATTAAAAATTTTGTACTAAAAATCCACTTTAAAAAGCAGTAAAAAAGCCATCTCAAACAAAGCTTAAATAATGAACTTAGACTTAAATAATGAACTTAGACGATTTGGTCATGTATAATGATCGACAACTGAGAGATCAATTTGACCAGCAGGGAAGTTGAATATGAAATGGAGATAAAGTATGAGGAATGGACAGCATAAAATATCGCCAGAAGTTGTAGAAAGACATCAAAATTGAATCTGCATCTCATTTTCCAATTAACAAGAATTACAATAAAAGGAGGATCTATAAATCGAGCTCAAAATATTGTGATTAACACTAACAATGTTGTTAGCTTATTTATTTGCAGTAAAGTTCACCCATTTTTGCTCTACTTGTTAGTATATTAGAGAAATGACCTTAAAGGGCAAAAAATATATCACTTTAAACCAAACCTTTGAATACAAAAAACAATTTTGACATGAGCGCTTGAATGGCAACAACAACATCAAGCCTTTGTCCCACTATGTGGGGTTGGTTACATGGATCTTTTTTCTCCATTGTGTCTTGTCAAAAGTCAAATTCTTATTTAAATCTAATAAAGAAATATCATTTATAATATTTTCTAACCAAGTCTTTTTAGGTCTATCTCTATCTTTCTTAATATAAGTCAAATCTAATAACTCTACTTTCCTAACATGGTCATTGAAATGCCGTCATTTTATGTGACCAAATCATCTAAGGTGACTCTCTCTAATCTTATCTTCCATTGGAGCTACTCCAACCTTTTCACGTACATGCTCATTTTGTATCCTGTCTCTAAGTGTAAATCCACTCATCCACATGAGCATCTTCATCTCTGCAACACTTAACTTAGTATTATACTTCTCTTTTAATGGCCAACATTCTGCACCATAACGCATTGCGGGTCTCACCATCATCTTATAGAATTTTCTCTTAAGTTTGAGGGAGACTTTTCTATCACACAACAAGCCCGATGCATTCCTCCACTTCAACCATCCAATTTGAATTCTACTAATAATATCCCCATCTATTTCACCATCACTCTAAATAAAAGATTCAAGATATCTAAAACATATACTCTTATTAATGACTTGTTGTTGTTGTTGCTGCTTGAATTCGAAATTATTATCATCATTTGTTCTATGTCAATTGTTTTGTGCATACGTTATGATTCATTATTCACCATTAACCCTTGCTGAATGTTATTTAAGCTTTAGTTCTTGCATGTCTTTACTCGCAACATGTTAATATTACACTCTTTACACTTCATAATAGGGAGTAATTTGAAGCCCAAATTAAGATTGTTTTTTTTTTTGCATGTTGCAGTCATTGGCATTGGCTCATGCGGATATAGATGAAGGGAAGGTTTTATTTGTTCCCTGGGTAGAAACTGATTTCAGAACCGGTGAAGATCCTTGGTGGTCCTGAACTCTCTGGACTGTTCATCAACAAAGAAAAAGAGCAGGAACAAGATCTGTTTGTTTGAATATTCTGTCATTGAAGAAGAAAAAAAAACATTATTTTCCCAAAGCTTCATGATGTTGTGTTAGGGAAGAGCAATGTGGACATCAATATTCTATTAATTAGAAAAAGGGATAAAAAATGAATGTTATGTTTGCAACTTTAATTACTTGTTTTAAATGATATGCTATATGTGATTACTGCTAATGATTTTCTGGGAATGTATGGAAAACTGTTATATGTTAAATGGATATAATCATTCTGCTTTTAGCTATGGAAGTACATAGAGCCACTCAAGGAACTCTAACTAAATGATGAAATCTTTGAATATGGAGTTTCTATGAAATCTTTGTAGACTTGTCTCTAAGTTGAAGAGTAGCTTATGTATGATCGAGCGACTTGGTCTTTGTCTTTCTTATTGTTTTTTAAAATAATTTTTTAATTTTAAAATTTGTTGAACTAAAATTTTTTTATTAGAATTGAGCCGAGCCGAGCCAATTACGAGTACTTGATTGTTCATATTTGACTTTCATTTAACTTTAGTAAGCTATAGTGTTTGATTATACGATTTAGATTTTGTTTGTGACGGCTTTATTATTCTTTTCTAAATTAATTTTTTAGTATAAATATTTTTAAAATAAAAAATTATGTAATGAAAAGTTGCTTCAAAAAGCAGTTGAAGCAAAACCTTGGTGAGAATAGGGCTATTGAGTACAATTTTCATATTTAGCTTAACTATACAAGCTATGATAATCACATCAAGTTTCAAAGCCACACAAATATACAAATGTACGCACATATATATGATGGTGATATAAAAATATAATATTTAAGAGAGTAATTAACTTGTTAATCACGAATGACATATTTACTTAACTACTTTAGCATAAGAAGCACTAAGTGCATGAAACCTTGAATCGAGCTGACAAATTTATTCATGAACATTTTGTTAGACCGGTTCTCTGTGAACCGGTCCAGAACCAGCAGCATCTCCAGCCGTTGGTCTATAGGGGGCGGAGGCTTCCGCCTCCTTTAAATGAAATTTCTTAAGTGGGGGCGGGCCCCACTTCTCCAAAGAATTTGAATGTTCAAACGGAGTGGGGAGATGAGGTTTTGGGAGGGAAATTAAAATAGGAAATATGTTGTATTAAAGGGGATGAATGAATGAGGGAGTGATCATGTTTTGATTGATTGGAATTAAGGTTTTCTTGGAGGCTTGGGCTCTAGAACGAATTCTAGAGATTGAGAGAGTGCGATCCTCCTCTCGAATAGAGGATCCTTGTATCTTTGCTATTTTTCTTCCATCTACTAGTAAAATACAAGCTGTTCTTCCAATTTTCTCTCAGCTTTTCCCTGTTTTTCCCACTGTTTTGCTGTTTTTTTTTTTTCTACTGTGAACAGCAGTTTGCATCGAGATTTGCTATAGAAGTGATTTGGAAATACTTGAAATCAAGTATTTCCTATCACATTTTAAACAAAAAATATTGCAAATATGAATAAATACCTCTTGTTTATGAACAAATTTTTATAATGAAACTTGATAACATAAAATTGAAATTAATTTTTTTATATAATAAGAATAACTTATTATAAGAAAACTAAGAATTATATGAAAATATATAAAATAAAGATTTAATCACACTTCTTAACGAGGTTTTTATCAAGCTTTAATTGATATTATTTATGAACATAAATAAGCAGTACATATATATGTTCATATTTATTTAATAATCGAGTATTTAAAAAATTATTCAAATTCATTTAATTACTTAAAAAATGATCATAATAATTGAGCAGAACCACTAATACCTTATCAAAAGCTCAGTTCATTTGCTCTGTGTGACTTCCAGACGAAAAGAACATCCAAATTATGGAATTTTTATTAGGTCCGTACACCTGCATAGCTCAACTTTCGGATGTCAATAACATGTCGACATGTGCTCTTACTCTTTACTGTGCGGCCCGACAACCCGACCCAGACCGGAACCCGGTATTGCTATGTATTAGCTGATTTGTGCAGACCAGGGTATTACTAAGTATTGCTCGGTAATGAGAAATACTATTTGTCAAGACCAATACCTAGCAATACCGAGCAATACCGATCAATACCGAGTAATACTGAGCAATACTCCAGTTTTGCTAGGTATTATTTGGTATTGGTCTTGACAGAGCGATATTTCTCGTTATTGCCAAGCAATACCTAGCAATACACGAACATAGCAAATATCGGGTTCTGGTACAGGTCGGGTCGTCGGGTCGCGCGGTAAATAGTAAGAGCACATGACGACATGTTATTGACCTCCGGATGTAAAGCTTTCAAATTATGAGTGCTAATTATGTGAATACAATATGTATACTATACACAAATGCATACGATATATACTCTCAAATATCCGCCAAATTATTCCCGTCCAAATGCCCCGGAGAATAATTTCGCCATTTGCAGCCCCAGTCTGGTTCGATCTCCTCTCGGCCTTGATTGTCTACCAATTTACTTTTCACTGCTTCTGCCCTAACCCTAATTATCAGGTCTCTTTCCTGCCCTCGTGCTGCCGTTTCAGTACCCTAAAGATATCTCCTCCCTACTCCGACGATGAAAATGTAAGTGATCTCATGATCTTGCTTTTCTGATTACTCTCTCTCTCTCTCTCTCTCTCTCTCTCTCTCTGTGATCACTAGTTATATGATTTTCTTCCATTTTACGTCTTCTAGAGCGTCAGGACATTAGTTGGCCCAAAAGATGCTGATTCTTTAAGTTTTTCGGGATAGATGGTAATGGATCTATATCTATTTCGTTGTCTATGTAGTTTCTATTTATTGGTAGTTTGGCGCCCAAGCGTATGTGACAAACGCAACCTATTACTGTTTTTTTTTTTTTTTTTTTCTATTTCTATAATTAAAAATTCAAACAAGAAGAAGACAACTTCTCTGAAAAGATAAACGTGATAAATGTTAGGTAATTTTCTGAAACTACATTCATGGTCGGCTACCTTGGCTAGAATTAACTTTGCAAGTTCGAGCATGGCTGCTCTTATTCATATTAACTTTCTGTATTGAAAGGTGCTACTAATGCATGCCAGCTGCTACTTTGCAGACTAAAGACCGATGCGGGAATGCTTACCGATTTTGAAGTTTTGGACATGTTACGTGCTCGAGGTGCACAGCGCGATCCTATGGCCTGTATTGGACTTGTAGCTAATTCAGAGTGTAAGGTGCTTGAATAGCTATCTGTTGCTTTTCAATGTGGTTCCAGACGATTTTATTTCTTAGTTTGACTCTTATTTAAATCTTATTATGCAAAGCATTGAAATCACATTGAAATTGTTGTTGTGCAAATGCGTTTAGGTGTATGATTACCTTCTACAAAGGGCTGCTTGCAATCAGACTAGGGAAGTAATTGAAAGTTTTAAGAGAAGATATGAAGAGTTCAAGAAAGGAAATGAAAAGCGCAAGCTTACAAAGGCTGAACTGTTGAATATCATCAACTTCAGGCCATCCAGTCATGCAGAGCTATATGCGGTATCATCTCGATTTTTTTTATTAAGTATTTTCTAACTTATGAAGAAATTTTATGGATGTACAATTGGTGAAGCTTGACAATCTTTTATGCTTCTCTAGGGATATATCATCACCATTATCATTAGCTTATCCCCACTATTTGGAATCATTTTTATGAATACTTATTTTACACTTGTTCATATCAAGTGCTTCTTAAGGTGTTAAATCTATTCTTTGCAAATAATTTTGAACAACTTTTGTCTGTAGCATTTTCCTTCATAACATTTTGACATTAATTTTATCTATTCGCCTAAGTAGTGCATTGTCTACCCTTCTTGCACATGTCCCAATCAACAAGTCTATTTTAAACTACCTTATCTTTGATATATGCCTTTCAAACCATTATTCTAATATGGTCAGTCTCTTAATTTCTCCATCGTACTTTTGCCACACACTAATATTAATATTCTCATTTTTAGCCACACTTGACTATCAACAATTTTTTACCACCCAATAAGCATAGCATGCAATATAGCCGACCCAATATTCACTCTAAAATTAATATTTACATCTTATATCTCAATTCTTCTATGTATTAGGTCTGAGATACTTAAACCTATGCTTAGGTATCACTTATCTTCTGATAATGTTGAATGGTAATTGGTAATATTGTTCGTACTTAAATTGCAAATCATAAATTCAATCTTCACATCATGGTTTAAAGTTTCTATGGTTTTGAAAGAAATTCATATGAAACTCAGTAATCTTTTAGTTTTGATTGGTATTGTGAGTTTTGAAAGAAATTCATATGAGAGAGAGGGAAGACGAATGTCGGGTCAGAGGCAGAGTCACGCACGGAGGCTGAAGTTGGCAAGTGCGGCAGTCAGCTAGGGCTTCGAGTGTCGGCAGGAGGAAGAAGACAGACGAGCCGGATGCTTAGGTTCTAGGGAGTTTGACGGGATCGGGTATGTGGTCGCGATCAGGTGTAGGGCATGAAGGGTTGAGAATCTCGCGTGCGAGGTTGAAGGCGTCGATTTTATGCGGCGTCAGCTTCAGATGGGCTTGGTCGAGGGTCGACTAGGGCAGACGGAGGCTGGAGGGGCTTCGACTGAGTTCAACGGGAGCAGAGATTGTGGAAAGTGGTGCCTTTGGTTCTCTTCCTTGCGTTCAATTTTAGAGAGCGAAAGTTTGAATGGTTTTGAGGAAGCAAATGACTGTTGGAGGGAGTTACATGAGGGAGATCGTGGGTAATGGGAGCTGGCGGTTAGGTTCGATCGTAGGTTACATGTCAACAACTAAATTTGAACCAATTTGGTCCTACCAATACTTTATCATTTCTTTAGATGGAAATTATTGAGAGAAGTTTTTTTAGGCTATTTTGAACTTTTAACAATGAACTTCATTAGTTGAGGTCAACAACTAAATTTTTTTTTAATTTCTTTTTCCTTAAAAAAAAAAAAAAACAATGAACTTCGGTAGTTTGAACTGGTGTTAAGTAAGTAGATTGATCCCAAAAAAAATCAAAATGCTTTTATGAAAGTTTCTCCCCATCCATTATGTTCAAAGATGACAAAATTGAGAATATGATAAAATTTTTTCATATTTGGTGAGTTCGGATACTAAGTTGAATACCTAAAAATGTTTTGGATTAAAAGGAATACACTTAAGAAGTTTAGGTATCATTTTGATATTTACTTCCAAATGAATATTGAAGCTTTAGGGGAGTGGGGCAGATTAAAAGTTCTGTTCAGATAAATTATTAGGGCTTATAACACATTTGACTTCATGCTTCAGTACTAGGCTTGCATTTGGTTAGTATTAGAGATTACAGATGGTGTAAAATGTATTACCAAAACTGGCGTTTTGTATAACTGTTTCTGCACTTTTACTAAAATCTAAATCAATTTTACTAAAATGAGTAGTTTGTAGTAATATAATCTTAGCTACAACTAGATAAAGGTTCAAAAGAACTTGTAAATGATGAAGATTTTTGGAAAAAATGTTAATTATAATGTATATTTTTTAGTTGAACAATGAGCAGGTGAAATGCTATGTGCTTTTGGCAAAAGAGTTGCAGGGTATATCGCTGAAAATCTTTTTGGACGTTTTTTTTTTCTTTGTAAGGACATTTATAGTTCAAGCTTATGGCCTTCTATGAGCCAATATGCTTGTGAGAAACCAAGTTTCTTTATGCCTTTTAATCATATATGTTAATTATTCTGGAGCAACTCAGTCCATTCCTTATTATGAGCCTTTTTGTTGCTAAATAATAAAATAGTCAGATGGCACCAATAACCAAGGTTTATATACTGAAAAGGTAGTTCATCATTACAGTTTTTTATCCCTCCTGTTCTTCTCTTGATGGATCTTTCAGACTGCAGCTACCTTCTGCTAGATTAATTGTCACCCCTTAGAATCTTCTTGCCCTGGATATTTCTGTCTACTAATGCTGATTATATGTTGCTCCCCTTCACATTTTAATTGTTAGATGATGTACAACTAATTGTCCTATCTTTCTTGAGAATGAAAGTGCAAGAAAGCAAGAAGATTTAAAAAAAAAAATCACTAAAGATAGAGATTTTATGTGGTTTGAAGATTAGTTCCTCTAAAAAAATACTATGATTGCATGGATTCCACTATTTTTTTAGAATTATAATTACAAGATATGAACCCCTTCCCTCCCTTCAAATAAATTGGTCATGAAAACAACAAATATCCACTTAAAATATCACATAATATATTCCTAGAATACTTTTACGAAATTATCATGTAGGGAGAATATACCAATCGAATTAGGGAAGTGATCGCCATCAAAGCCTTTGTTGATAGTACGAATCATTCTCCATTAAACTTAAACACCTTTCATGCTCTTAGAACTGTTATTTAGGCTTCGTTTGGGACAACTTTTGTACTGTTTTTTAAAACGATTTTTTAGTAAAAAAGTTCAAATTCAATAAATTTTTGTAAAAGAAAACTGTTTTAGAAAGTAAGAAGAAAATCGTTCCAAACGAAGGCTTAATTGGCAACAAAATCTAGAATTTTGATCAGTATTCATATGATTTTTCACCCATGTCTGTTTTTGTCATGTTATAGGTTATACCCAATTTGGATGCTCGCTTCAAGGTAAATGAAGATGGCGGTTCAAATGATGTTGACGAACTGTTAAATATTGTGCACGAGATGTTGCCACCACCTCCACAACAACCTGAACAGGAAGCACCTGATCATGAAGAAGGTACACAAAACGCAGAAGCAATGGAACAAAACTAGACAGTTTTGCCTCATCTGCCTGTTTTTATTGTGGTTAAAGGGCTCACTCTGTTGCTTTTAGATGCAGAAACTCTCTCTCAATGATTGTTTTTGGGGAGAAATCAATTTTTTCTTCCGATCATTTTACAGAATCTTCAAGCAACTAAATGAGCCATAATAGAGTTTGTTCTTAGATTGCTATTTCTGAACTTTGCCTTGTAGCTTGGGGTGTCAATTCGGGTCAACGGGTTGGGTTCAGGTCGAACCCGAAACTGACCCGGCACTATTCGGATCAACCCAAAACCGACCCATTTTTAAAAACATGTCAGGTTACTAGACCCGAACCTGACCTGATTCGGGTCCGGGTCAACCCAACCTGACACAAATGACTCGAAGTTGATCTAAAATTACTAATTTTCGGGTCAAAATCGGGTCAATCTCGGGTTTCCGAGTCAAATAGGAGTTTTCGTGTCAATTTTGAGTCATTTTTGGGTTGCTGGGTTAACCCGATTCTGACCCAATTTTTAAAACGGGTTGATTTGTTGAACCTGAGCCCGACCTATTTCGGGTCCGGGTTGACCCTAACTTGAATTTTTCGGGTCATGTCAAAAATTGACACCCCTACTTGTAGCTAGGGATGATATCCTATGAGTGGCTGGGTTTATAATTATATTAAGGCTTCGTTTGGGGCGGATTTTTACTACTTAAAGCAATTTTTTAGCATAAAAATTTAATTTTTATATTAAAAAATTGTTTTAAAAAGCCATAAGAAAACTGTCTCAAATGAAGCCTATACATTTCATCTGGGATGACTTTTTTGCAGCTTCTTAAAATATTTTTTTAAGTCAAAAAATCGCATACTCGCTCAAAATGTTGGTATGGTTGGCGCTGATTTGAGAGTTAAACAATATTTAAAATTCTTATGGTTGCAATTCTAATAATAATTTAGGTCAAATTTAATTTTTTTATCAAATAAATTTTGAAATTCTGTAAAATTTTTCAAGATGCGTATAATATTAAAGTTAACTGATCATTTAGATATTGCATTCAATTCAAAAGTAATTAAAATTTTTTAAAATTCAATCTAATGAAAATAATGAAAATAATTTTATTTTATTGATTGATTTATTTATTTCATTTTAAATATAAATTAAAAAATTTTAACATACATAACGAGTAAATTCTGATCAGCTCCATTTTAAATACTTCCTGCAGCCATGTAAAGAAAAAAATAGCCAAACAAGCCCTTAATTACCATCACAAAACATGATTCATTAATGAAATATTAAAGTAAAAAATGCAGAAGCAATGGAGAAGCTCCATTGCTGCATTAGCAAGCAAATGATTTTCAACACTTATTTTGTGATAAAAAATTCAAGATGTCGATCTTGAATTAGTTCACTTTACCCAAAAAAAAAAAACCTTAAAATTGATTTTTTTTAAAAAATCTAAATTTAAGATTACTTTCTGACTGGAATTTAGAAACTGAAGTGGCTGATCAATAACCTCACCAGCCTTTGCCAATAAGCCATAGCCAATCTAATGCAACTCCTGAAAAAAGACCACCTAAAAGAAACAGAACCAGCAAATTTCCCAAGGCATTAGCCTCTGGTCCCTGCACAAGAAACCATTTCATTTCAGAAACAAAAAAAAAAAAAAAAAACAATTTATAAATATGAATAAATTAATGATTTAATGAAAATATTTCCAAGATATGAAAAAAGGTTGTAGAAAGCTAACCTTGTAACCCTTTGGGGCTGCAGTGAGAACACAAACGGTAAGATGACCGTTAGTTAACCCTAATAATGATGTGAGGAGTATCATCCAACCCTGTCCTCCATATTTTGCAGTGAAATAGAATGCAGGAACGAACAGAAAACGGGAAATAATTGCAATCATAAGGCCTTTCCTTGATTCTATGCAGATTTGTTTGATGAGAGGAGTAAATCTTCCAATGAGGTCCAGCACATTATACATTGCGATCAAAACAAGAGAATACCTGAACAATGAGGGAAAAACCAAATCCTCAAGAACTATAATAGGGAAGAAAAAGCCAGCGGAATCATGTGATCCAAAGAAATAGATTTATTTGGGATCTATTTCTATCAACAAGATCATGCCACATCATTGGCAATTTCAATGAGGGCTATGAAGAAGCTCTAACTTGATTTGGTACTCTCCTTGGTTCTCTAGATAAAGGTTTCATTTGGGACAGCTTTCTTACTGTTTTTTAGAACCAAAATTTTTAGTTCAAAAAATTTTTGTACTAAAAAACTGCTTTAAAAACCAGTACGAAAACTAAAGCCAAAGTTCATAGATTTGAGTCCATATTGCAACATTCCTTAAACTCAATATTTTTTAGCTCTTATGTGTGGAATTCGATCTATAATTGATCTTGTGTCGTTCTTATCTTAGGCTTCGTTTGGGACGGCTTTCTTGATGCTTCATAAAGCAACTTTCTAGTACAAAAATTAAAATTTTTTTTTGCTAGAAAGCTGCTTTAAGAAGCAGCGAGAAAGTCGTCTCAAACGAAGCCTTAGATTGACCTCCAACCTAATTATATGTGGCTAACTTTGTACCAAAGCCCTACATGGGGTCCTGGTTGGGTACCCATGCTCTGCGCGGACGACAGACTGGCTTTTCCCACCCACACCAACCCATGGTGACTTTTGAGATGTCGTACCCACCCATACCCACCCACTTTTCATGTTTCTTGAACGCAGCTTGCCACGGACTGATGGCCTTTAGGCTTCTTGCCCATTGCTCTGATTGAAAACTTTCAAGCCGCATATCAAAATTTACCATGGTCGCAGCGTGATTCAGTGCTGCACACTGTGTAGTGAAGATTGCGCTAATATAAGACATACAGTGATTAGCAATGTGAATCGATTTATCCCCCGATGCTGAGTACCCACCCATACCCACCAAGGAGGCCATGAGCATACCCATACCACCATACCCATTGGATATGGTTGAGTATATGAGTGGGCGTGGCTATGGGTACCCAATACAAAGCTCTGCTTTGTGCCTTACTTTCAATTTATAAAAGATTTGAAAAAGATCTGCATCCTTCAGGAGAAAAAATCAACAAGACATCATATATGTATATAAAAAATGGAAGTTTAAAGCTATATGAAACATGAATTTCAATAAAAAAGGAAACCAATCAAATTACTAAGAGCTTAAAAGAAGGAAGACTATATGATTCATGCAAAAAAATAGAAATACAAAAAATATTGAACCTAAGAGTGAACAAAAAAAAAAAAACATACCAAGAACCAAGTTGGTGGACCCCAGTGTCTTCAGACAAGAAGCCTGGGAAAATTGACAAAGTTAGAACATATATAAGAAACAAGTCCAGTCCATAATCCAAGTTCTGCATCAACAACTGCTTGATAGTCATACGCTCTAATTGCTTTGGATCTTCTTCAGCCTGAATTACATACAATATGCTCATTTTATAAAGTTTTTTAGTTTAACAAATTCAGATTGTGGCTTGAATGTGCAAACACACACGCACATTTGGCTTGTTCTGCAGTTGGATGCCAGCAGCTGCAAGATCTGCTGAAACTGTTTTTGATCCTTCAGAAGCTGCCTTCGATCGATAGTACTTTACGATTGGAAGCTTGGGAAAGACAAATGCATATAGTAGAACACAAAGAAACTCCAAAAATGAAGCAATCGCAAAGAAAATCACTGCAGGAATCAGTTCAAGCAATGGCCATGAAATAAACTATAATAAAACATATCATGGTTGAAAAGAATAAATTGTTCTGTACAGAAGGAAGAAGTAATTTTCACGTACTGGCTCCCTTGCGAAGACCGTCATGACTATGCTCAAAAGCTGCCTTAGTAATCAGCCTCAAAGCAGAGGTTAATGCCCCGGAAGCAGCCAAACCAGCAAGGAATGACTATATATATTCAAAATAGAAATAGAGTAGGATAATGAGTAAGTAATACAGTTTTGAAAAAATGAATTTGTGGATTAGAGATTGCGTTGTAAAAAGAGAAGAAAACCTGAATGAATTCTGGACGCATTAAGGCCAGATCACCAACCATCCCACCTTGAGCAAGTGCATCAGCAACTCCAAAAGCTGCACTTATAAGGCAAATGCCAATGAAGGGTCCAGCCCCTCCTTTCCCTGATGTTGCTAGATCTAACTGTGAGGGTAAAACAAAGATAAATCAACAGAATCATAATCATCAGCAATTGTATTAGACTAGGGGTGTAAACGAGTCGAGTCGAGCTCGAGTCAGGGGGTGTTCGAGCTCGACTCACAAGTCAAATACCGAGCTCGAGCTTGACTCGTGACACTATATCGAGCTTATCGAGCCACTCGTCGAGCCGCTCGATTCGACGTTACGGAGCCGCTCGATTTCCTGTTCGTCACTTTCCCGCCTGGTTTTGATTTTACCACCCGTTTCGAACAGATGGAGAGCGAACACAGAAATCGAGCAAAGAAGACTGTTGGAGTGAGCTCAAGACCCTTTAGCATTTATTAGAAAAGAAAAAAAGCTGCTTTTCTTCACAGCTTTTAAATTATATATATATATATATATATTTTGAAAATTTCATTATTTCAATATCTCAAAAGTTGTGTTTCATTTATTAGCATTTGTTGGTATTGATGTTCTAGAATGTTTTTATTAAGCTGCTGTTGAAGATTAGATTTAATTTTTTTAGAACTTTTAAAGGTAACAAAAATATTAATGATTTAAAAACAAATTTAAAGAGTAGTTCGAGCCAACTCGCGAGCTCACGAGCCGAGCTTCATCAAGATCGAACTCGAGCTCGTTTACTAAACGAGCTCGAGCTTGACTCGTGAGCTCGATAAGCTCGGCTCGCGAGCCCATAAACGGTTCTAGAATGTTTTTATTAAGCTGCTGTTGAAGATTAGATTTAATTTTTTTAGAACTTTTAAATGTAACAAAAATATTAATGATTTAAAAAAAATTAAACAGTAATTCAAGCCAGCTTGCGAGCTCACGGGCTGAGCTTTATCAAGAACGAGCTCGACTTGTGAGCTCGATAAGCTCGGCTCTTGAGCCCATAAATGAGTCGAGCTCGAGCCAGCTCAGCTCACTTACACACCAACCACTTCAGGTAACATGAGTTTATTACCTTCTTTTTTTTACAAACCCCTTTGGAAAAATTTAAGCCACATTACCATTGTTCTATCCCTATTTTCTTGATAATCCCTTAACCTTTTTCTACCTAATTCCTTAATAGTACATCTTCGGCACTCTATTATAGATGCCAAAATCATTTGAGTCTATATGCTATTATTACATCTAATAGATGATTCCATAATTATCCCAACTTTATAATCATTTCTCACTCCTTTCTAGTTTTACTACACATCCGTCTTAACATTCTTATTTTTACACATTATCTCTCAATGATTTTTTGTTCCTAACACTTGAATTCTTATAATAATTAGTCTATTATATTCTTCTATCACATATCACAAGGGCACTAATCAATTTAATTTGATCAGGAGAAATTTCCAAATACATTAAGGAGTTATAGGGGGGAGCTTAAGAAAAGTTGGAAAATTTACTTACAACTATCACAAGTAATGAGCTTATAAAAAACAACGTGTATCCACATATGTTCCGGATTCTAGTATTAAGCTTTGCTTCATGATAGGTGAGTATTGCAAGCATTGCGAAGGCAAAAGGTTGGTAAACTAGTGTAAGTACTCTCGTGGGATGGTACTTCTGCAACAACAAAAAGACATCAAGAAAAAAATTTAAGTAAATGCATATCTTTCCACACACCCAAAAAAGAAAAAAAAACGGTAAGTTTTGATAAGGAATGTACAATTTATATACAGGATGATTATTATGTTAGTTCATATATAAAAAGACATGCTCTACCTAGCAGTTTATTTCTGTGGACATGTTAATATCCAAAACTCTCAAATCACTTTATCAGAAAAATAGAGGCAGCTTTATATGAAAGAAAGAGTGTCAGCAAATTCATTACAGTTGCAGATCATCTTAAAAGTTCATAAACCTAAAATCTACCACATTGAAACTACAAGAAATACTCGTTTGAAGTACAAGCATGTCAAGCTTAGATTTTATTGTGCAGGTAATTAGCCAAAATAATCCAACCAAAAGTAGAGAAGTGGCCTTTCTTTCCATTTCTTAAGCTCTTTTGGATGTTAGGTATATAATAGTAAATCGTCATACATATTAGAATTAGGCTTCATTTAGGATAGCCTTCTTCTTGCTTTCTAAAATAGCTTTTTAATACAAAAATTTTTTGAATTTGATAATTTTTAACTAGAAAGCCATTTTAAAAAATAGTACGAAAGCTGTCCCAAACGAAGCCTTAGTTTCATTAAGGTTCACTTCAATTGGAGGGTTAGGAGACATACTCATCTGTCTTATCAAAAAAGGAAAATTACACATTGAGGGCTACAAAAGCTTGTTTCTGAAAATAACATGCAAGTGTAGCTCAGCTTTTAATGGGCAAGAAATTAGCTAAGACAATCCAACCAAATCAGACAAGTTTATTTTCCATCCCTTATATGAATCTCTTTTTTATCATGCCAATGAGAACTATATCTGCAAAGAATCTCTTTGAAAGAAGGGCTGGGAAGTATTGCTTTCATGGATGCGTTCAAATTCTAGATCTGTTAGAAGAGCTTGAATTTCTGTACTGGAATTAAAAGGCACATTAAAAACAGATTATCTTCAAGCCTAAATAGCTTCTTCTGGCTCAATAGCATCAAGAAACTTATTAAACACAATCATACCGGAAATTTTGTAGTATAATAGTCGACAATAGTAAGCATGCTGTTCCATGAGATGAGAGATCCATTCCCTAAGACCCAGCAAACAACAATGGCAGCAAATCTTCCCTGCGTATACAGGCAATTTCTTTGCTAATCATCACAATACATGCATAATCTCTAGCAAAGAAGAATATAGGCTTGTAATGAACCTTATTTTTGTTTGTTTCCTCTCTTTCAAACTGCGAACTCATATTTGCTTCACTTCAATATACCTTCAAGTGCTGAGAGAATCAAAGGAATAAATCACATATAAATTACTAAGAGAATCAAAGGAATAAAGCAAATAAAAAAAGTCATATCTAAGCCTAACATGATAATAACAGCTTGGTAAAATCTACATATAAATTACTGAACCGGAGAGCTCTTGAATAAAAAAACAAGGAACTCAGCAAATTAAATGAGGAAAGTTAACAAAAAGAATAAGCAAAAAACTAGGTTCCCTGAACTAAAATAAGAATTTTGTGCAGAATAATTGAGATATCTCAAAAGGATCCACCACTATTACACCTTAAAACCAGAGAAGCTAAGCAGAAAGAAGTTAACATTGTTTATGGGTGTCTGTGTGTGCATGTTTCGGCTTATCTTCAGCTCTAATCAGATAAATGAATTCTATTTCTTCTTAGCTCGCAGAGAACCTATAAGCTAAGCATGACAGAAAAAAAAACAAAATACCAATTTTGAGTAGCTCCTTAAAGAAGACTAAAAATTCAAGAGAACATGAAGGATTCCATCATGCAGTTGGAATCCAGATCACAAAAAGGACGCTTTGATGAACCTCAGAATCTCAAAGTCATTCTTTACCAGTGTAAACCTCACACAAAAACAAAACAAAGGGAGATAGCTTTACGGCAGACGCAGAAAACTTGCCACTTGAACCCAAATTGCAGAATGGAAACAAGTTTTCATAAGAAAAATACCCCACTAAATCTAAAGCAGCCTCGGAATCCAAAAAGTAATCAGAAATGATGAGGAAGAAAAGAGTACCTTTCCTTGCAATAGTAAGAAAAGAACTTTTATATCCACAACTAAAAAAAACTAGACGAGTTCCCAACAGAATTGAAAGGTATCACTCAAAACCCCAGATTTCAGTGATAAGCTCTTTTTTTAAAGGAAAATAAATGGCACGTTTGACTCCGATAGCATTCCTCTCAATGTAAATCCATTCGGGACTTCCTGAATGAATTTTCTTCCCATGCTGAAGCCATAAACCACAAAATAGAGAAAACAATAAGAATCATATAAAGTCCTAAACTTCAAACGAAAATTACAAAAAAGAAGGAATCAATGCCCCAAAAAAGATCAAATGATAGCTACAGTGAGGAAAAAAAAGTACTTTTTCCCTCTGTGTTTACCGACTGAGGCCAAGATAGAAGATTACGTGCAAGATTCCACACTATCGCATCACTGAACCCTAATTCTCAATAAACAAAGAGGCAGAGCCAAACACGAAAGGCGGGGTCTCCTTTGGCAAGTAGCTACTATCCAATTCAATTATATGGCTGGAGGCGATTGGTTTCCATTTAGGCATAGTGATCGTTCACACTTGTCAGCTCATTCTTCTTCAAAGATCCAAAGTCGCCTCCTTTTTTATCTAAATTCTTCAACGCTTGGGTCACGTCAACAGCTTTAGCACTCAAATTGCCTTAAAAAAATCTTCAAAGCCTTGGCTGGACTTCCTTTTACTGCACCTAACAAGGGAAGTTGTAGACTTATTGGGAGCTTCGATTGCTATGAAAGATTAAATAATTCGGGCTAAAGAGACCATGGAAATAGATAGCGTCATCTTTTAGGGTTTCATAAAATAAGGTGATGGTAAACAACTCAAATTAAGCAAAGCATGGTCATACTTCAGCTGTTTTTTTTTTTAATTTTATTTTAGCACGTGCAAAATTAAATTTTGGAAGTATATAACTTATATAAATTAATATTATTTTTTGCTTTAAAATTATATATATATATATTAGAGATATAAACTTCTTTCTCCTACCTAGCACCTACCAATTTTTTTTTAAAGATTTTGTTCAATGATTATATTAAATAGATTAAGAAAATTGACATTCCTTTTTTTCATCTTTTAAATATTTAAATTAATAAATAATAATCTGAAAGGTAAATTATTTCCAAATTAATTATTTTCATTAAATATATTAAAATGCAACAATTAAAAATTATATATTTAATAATTTAAATTAAATGTTAATTAATTAGCCGCAAGTGACTCGATTCATTTATAATTTCAAATGAAAAAAAAAATCTAAAATTTTATGAATTCATTGCGAAAATACCCACTCTTTATTTTGACATTTTGAAAGAAAATTATATCTTTCTAGTTTATTAATAATTACATAAATTAAGCTCGGTATAAATAATAAATATGTCAAAATTTTAAAAGTGATTTGAGGGTTAGATTTGCAAATTATTTAATATTAAATTGGCAATTATATAAATGCCTAAAACAACAACATCAAGCCCTAATCCCACTATATGGTAATGCCTACATAAATTTTTTTTATTGTCCTGTTAAGAGTCAAATTTTTATTTAAATTTAATAAAAAATATCATTTCTAATACTTTCTAACCAATTCTACTTAAATTTATCCCTACCTTTCAGGCCAAATTTAATGTATATGCTCTCCTAATCGGGCTCTCTCTAATATTAGCTGCATCAAAAATTAAATAAAAAAATTGCATCAAAATATCTAAATTAAAATATGATCAAAATATATAGATTTTAAAATAGATACAATATGAAATTAATTAAAATTCAATATTAATTAATTTTAAAATAAATTTTAAATAAATTTAGAAAAGAACCTTTCACAGGTAGGTGGAAATGGCGTCTTTGACAGCATAAATGGAAACACGCTGAGCCCCATACTATAAAGAAGACAATATCCATACGAATCAACCTGAATTTCTCGGAAGAAAAAAAGAGCAAAAATCCAAAACATTTAGAGAGAACAACTTTTTGCTTTCAGATCCGTAAAATAATGAAGATTCTGACTTAGATTCTGCGTGAAGTGCGAGAATTTGATTCCCGAAATCCTGAAGCGTTTCAGACGATCAATTAATAATAAAAATTTAAAAGATGTGCAGATCATTTTGTTCTCTTGACTGTGAGTTTAGACTTTTTATTAAAAAAATTTAGATTCTAAGCTTATATAGATTATGCGCATAAATTTATGATATGAAGTGTTATACAAATATTCCATCCAGGTTAATCACTTAGCCCACATCTTTGGTGTATGTAATACAAAAAAATGAAGATAAATCTCAACACTGAGATTCACCACTTCCGTTTGGCCATCCGTTTTGGGATGATAAGTTATACTCCGTTTTAAGATAGGCCCCTGTATCTTAAATAACTCCCTCCATAAGCGACTCAGAAACACCTTATCCTGATCGGACACAATGACTTCAGGTATGCCATGCAACGGGCCACATCTTTAATGAATACGACTGCCACCGACAATACGGTGTATGGGTGATATAAGGGAGTAAAATGAGCATATTTGCTCAATTTGCCCATCACCACTACAATCATATTGAACCTTTCCAATCTAGGTAGTCCCTCAATGAAGTCCATAGTCATCTCTTCCCATACCTTCTTGCATAATGTAAAAGGCTGTAGAAGACCACATGTTGTCATAGCAAGATATTTGTGTCTTTGACACACATCACAACTTGCCACCAACTCCTCTACATCCCTTGGCATGCCCACACAATATAGCTCCGCTCCCAGTCTATGATATGTCTTTTGAACTCTTGAATATCCCCCAACACTTGTGTCATGAAACTCCTGCAATAAGAGAGGGATATGTGGTGATGTCCTCAAGAGCACAGATCGTCCCCAGTATAGTAGCTTCTGATCTATCAAAGAGTAACCATGATGGCTATCCTTGTCCTACAATAAGTCTCTGCTGGTATTATTAAGCTCTTCATCCTGCTCCCTCTTACGCTTCAAGCTCCCTTTCATACACTAATTTCACCCTCACCCTAATGGTCAACATCTGGCTGAAATAAGCTATGGGCCTCTAACTCTGCATGAGAACTGGACCCAACCTATAGGCTGATGCATCAGTCTCTACTACAAATAATTAGCTATAATATGATAGTGCTAACACGAGGACACTCGTAATAGCTTTTTTAAATTGCTCAAATGTTGGGTGGATGCCTCCCCCCATTTGAAATAATCAATCTTCAATTGCTCTACCAATGGCCATGTTATAGAGTTGTATCCCCTCACAAACTTTATGTAGTACCCTGTGAGTCCCAAGAACCCTCTCAACTCCTTTAGAGTTTTGGGTAAGGGCCACTCTAACGTAGTCTTTATCTTGGAAAGATCTAAAGCTATTCTTGATTTGGACACCACATGTCCTAAATACTCCAACATTTATTGTGCAAAAGAACGCTTCTTCAAATTGGCATATGACTGATGCTCCTTCAATGTTACTAACACGAGCCTCAAGTGCTCCACATGCTCTACGTCAGACCAACTATACACCAAAATGTCATCGAAGAAAATTAATACAAACTTACGGAGGTTTGGCTGAAATACCTTGTTCATAAGCGACTGGAAGTTAGCTGGATGTTGGTAAGCCCAAAGGAATCACTAAAAACTTGTAGTGGCCTTCATGAGTCTTGAAAGCAGTTTTGTGGATGCCAACGAAATGCATTCTGATCTGATGATATCTTGATTTCAGATCAATCTTTGAGAATATAATCGCCCATATAACTGGTCTAGTAACTCATTAATCATTTGTATAGAAAACTTATCTATATATGTCGGGGGTCCAAGGGGGCAGCGCCCCTTAACGAGGTTTGACCTGCCCACTTGTTTCTCAGTACCCTATTTTTTTCCTATAAATATGTTATAACTTATAAATGGCTTAGGGTTTGAAGCTGTTTGTACTGCGTCTCTTCTCTATAGTGAAACCGTTCTCCCTTCCACCCGTGATTTTTCACAAATTTGAGCTTTCCACGTAAATCTCTTGCGTTCGTTTGTATTTTGCAAATCGTGATTTACTATTTTTATGTGTTTAGTTCATCGTTCCCTTCCATATATCATGATGATCATCATCATAATAAGCCTTTTCCCATGAATTCACCCTAACTATTTGGATTCGTAAAAACTTCTTTCTCATTCATTCTTATAAAATGTTGCATTTGGTTTAAACTCTCCATTAACTTTAATAAGATAAATGCTTTGCCACCTATACTTTCAAATGGGAAATTACTGCGTGTATGTGTTGGGGACTGTGAACTGGTTACCTTTAAAAATTTTCCAAGAAATTTCCTTTCCATGCAGTAATGCGGATTCTCTGTTTGAACCAACCCCACAGACAACTTCCTTCTATCAGTGCATTGATTAGTTAAAGTGTACCCCCCAATGCCGGCTGGGGCGAGTCAGTCGAGTCATATTGCTGAAATAAATCAGACTCAGCAAGTTATCAAATAGTTTACTCACCGCTTGCCCGAAGTCACTAGAATAAAATGTGCTGTAACACTGAAATTTGAGCTAAAATTATAAATAAGGATCAGAGGATGAGACTGATGTATTTGATAGGATATACTTGAGTTAGCAAGTAACCATAAGGGAAATACTTGAGTTCGCAAGCAAAACTATCACTAATTGGTGAAAACAGTGAAAATAATGCAAAATATGGGTGAAATCAGCCTCAAAACGATGGATTGCAATAAGAGAATCAAAACCAAACAAACACAAAACAAGATACAAGTGATCCTCAATCCGAGAGAAGGATCGTTATCTCCCAATCTCTAGATAAGGAGTCTAGAGCCCAAGACGCCAAAGAACTACAAGAGAAACAAATCAAGCATAACCCTAACCCTAAAACACCTCATGCTATTTAATAAATAAACTTTCCAAATCAATTTTCCCTCCAAAGCCCTAGCCGCCCCCTCCTTTTCTAATTTGAACTCAATTGGAATAGTGGAACCTACTATTGTGGGCGGCAAGCATAAAGGAGGCGGGCTACGGCAAGTATAGAGGAGGCGGGACTAGCCTGTCTCCTATAAACAAAAATTGGCCCTGGATGGGCCGGTTGGGCCAGTTCAGGAGGAACCGGCCTATCAGTATTATGACCGATTGCAATCGATCAAGTTACATCATATTATGTACTTTCTAATGGAAATCTAGTGAAATCTTCAGTCTATTACTCTAGTTTTCTCTTTCATTCAATTTTTTTTTCTCTTGGGCTCGATTCGTACTTACTAGTAAGACTCTGGTGCCACTCATAGATAGATTTGAAAACAAAATGAACACCTGCTGTCTTCGTAATGTTCTTGCATCTGCTTCCTCATCAGGTTGATGGATGCTTTTCCGGCCTTCTGCTTTTCCATACATTCCGTGAAATCATCATATTGCTTGTCGGATAGGCAGGCAAAACAAAATTCTGACAATCACTATATCATCTGCCATTGAAATTCTTCAATTATCAAAAGCATTGAAACCTTCCTCTCAAAACTAAAGCTTGCTTCGCTACTCTACTTACAGGACAGTCTTCCCATGAAAAAAGGATTAATTTGTTGTGCGCAAATGCAGTTTTCATGTATTCCTGTACAGAGACCAATCAGAAGCAATTTGAATGGAATGTTTAGCCTCACCGCATTAAAATAATATCAAAGATGACCTTCAGTTATAATCAGAAACAAATATTATGTAGATCTGATCCTTCCATATTTTCTTGCAATCTAAGCAACTCATTTCGACAGTCATCAATCTGTGCATGGCAATCATCATCAGCAGAAAAAACATGAACCGTATTTTTCTGTCCAATCCAGCTTAAACCAGGTTCCTTCCCAACAAGTAGACCTCTAATCTTTCTTCTGACTTCAACTACCTCATCCCAACTACCGACCGAAGCATAAAGATTTGAAAGTAATATATGGGTAGGAAGATCATCTGGCTCTAAATTTAACACCTTCTTAGCTGCATGGTTACCCATATCCAAATCCTTGCTGACAACAGATGAGCTCAACAAAATTCTCCACAACTCAGTGGAGCAATCTCCAAAAGGTGAGCTCGCGATCAACTCTTCAGCTTCTCGCAACAGCCCAGCTCGACTTAGCAGGTTTACCATGTAGGTATAGTGCTTTAGCCCTGGTATGATGCCATCATTCATCATACAAAACCAGTAAAACCTGGCTCTCTCAAGCAGTCCACAATGGCTACAGGCAGAAAGTAAAGAGATGTAGGTGACATGATCAGGCTGTAGACCACTTTCCACCATCTGTCGAAAAAGACTAAAGGCTTCCTCAGCATTTCCATGATTACCAAATCCTCCAATAACTGAGTTCCAGCATATTAAATCAGGCCTTCTAATTGTATCAAACACAAATCTACAACTTTCAAGGCTACCGTTTTTAGCATACATATCAACTAGGCTTCCACAAACACAAGAATTTCCTCCATATCCAACTTTAATCACCAGACCATGGAACATCTCACCCTGTCTCAGTGCGGTAAGAAAAGCTGATGCTTTTATAGCGCTGCTAAGAGAAAAGCTATCAGCTTCATGTCCTTCCACTAGCATATTAGAAAAGTATTGTATTGCCATTTCCCCACCACCCAGCATTGAATGTCCAGCCACCATCTCAGTCCATATGACCACATCCTTCTGAGGAACACTATGGAATATCTTCTCGGCCGACAATGGCTCACTATTCATAAAATACATGCCAATTAACGTCTGTCCAACGTAGACACTCTCCGTCCATCCTGTTTTACAGATCTCAGCATGAAGAGGCTTTCCATAGAATAATGAAGGAAAAGCAGCAGTAGCAGCAACGACAGCTGCAAAAGTATACTCATCGGGAGGAAGCACATCTGAGCAATTCATCAACTTTAGCTTCACAAAAGCACCAATAGCCTTCTCCCCATCACAATTACTTGAAAAACCAGCCATCAGGGAATTCCAAGACACCAAATTTGGATCATCAATTCTTTCAAAAACCAACTCAGCCGTTCTCACATCCCCACAGCTAGCATACATATCAAGAAGCGCGTTCTGCAATGGAATATCAGGTGGATACTTAGACTTAATAATATGTCCATGGACGACTCGTCCTGCATTCAAGTCCTCCGCTTTTCTGCACACAGTCAAAAGCATTGTAAACGTACAAGGAGTAGGTTCTAATCCTTCTTGTACCATGCCAACATAGAGCTGCAGTGCACGCTTAATCTCACAACCGTTCAATCTACTGAGGAGCATGGAGTTCCAAGCTACCTCATCTTTTTCAGGCATTTCGTGGAATATCCTCTCTGCCGATTCCAAGCTTAAACAACCCAAGTACATTCTCAAAAGAGACGTCTTTACAAACACATTGCCGTAGAATCCCAAAACGACGACACGGCAATGAACGGCGCTGCCAGCTCGGTGGTCATGGATGACATGTGCAAGAGCGGAGAAGGTGGAGGCGTTGGGAGTGATGCCGACCGACGACATATCATGGAACAGATGCATGCAAGAAGTGGCGTGGCAAGGGAACCTGGAATAGGCGGACATTATAGCATTGTAGGAGACGGTATTTCGGTCAGACATTCTGTCGAACAGCTTGTGTGCGTCGAGGAGTGCGCCACATTTTGAGTATAATGACAATAGGTTATTGAATAGAAAGCGGATGGAAGGGGAGGGGGCCGAGGTGAGGATGAAAGCGTGGAGCTGACGGCATTTGCGTAGAGATTTTGTTGAGGGGAGGCGGCGGAGGGACTCGGCCACGGTTGCGAGTGAGGCTTCGTAACTGGTGGGGGAAGCCAGTAAAGAAGTTATGAAAGCTATTTTCGTCATTTTGTATTTGGGGAAAATGGAATTATCAGTGGGCTCGGATCCGGTGTTTGTGCTGATGTACGTGAGTTAATGCTTCTTGGAAAAAAACTTGTCAAAGTTTTTGATCTGATTTGTGTAAGATTTAGTTAAGCGTCGAATATTTTTTAAGAGCACATAATAATATGATTTTTATTATAAGTTATGCATTAAAAATATACTATTTTCTAATATTTTTTAATTATATGTTTCCAAATTTAATTATTAATAATTATTGAGTGTTACTAAATTTAAGAAAAATGAAAATAGGGCTTAACATCTTAGCATATACATACAATTAGAATGGAGTTGAAGAGACAATCCAGTTTTTATATGGAAAGTTAGAAAAGGGAAAAATCATAAGTGACCCAAATTAAATGAACAAATAGTTATAGACTACAATTGATGTTCGTCCTTATGATTGAAGAAAGTTTTAATGCAACATAATATACATAAATTATATAGAATGCATTTTTGTAATGAAAATTGGATAAGCCATGTGGTACGGAAGCTATCTTTAATAAATCTTATACTGTTTGTTTGAGGGTAGGAGATAGACGTAAAAAGTTAGAGTTTGTGTCACGATGTGTATCATCTTTATAGGTGATGGTACGTGTTGACGTTGTTGGCGAATATAGATGGCAAAGTTTATGGAAGTCGGTGTAGCTAGGTGATAATGTTCAGAGGATGGTAGTCAAATAAAAGTGGACAAAGGACTATAATCAAGTGATAGTGGTCGAGTGACTATAGTTAAGTGGTGATGGTCGGGGGACTAAAATTTAGCAATAGTGGATGGTCAAATGACCATAGTCGTCGATGATGATAAGAGAATCGTAGTTGGGCTAATATTGTTAAATGATCAAAGTCATACAATGGTGATTGAAGGTTCAAAGTTAGATGATGATGATCAAAGGCCAAAGTCAGACAACAGTAATCGGAGGGCCGAAGTCAGGAAATAATGATTGAAGGATCATAGTCATGTGATAGTAGTCAGAGTATCATGATTGGTTTATGGTGGCCGGAGGACTGTAGTTGACCACGATGGTCAAATGAATGACCATTTTCAGGAGACCATAGTTGGGGAATTGTTGATGGAGGATCATAGTTAAGGGATAGTAGTCAAAGGATTGTATTTAAGAGATGGTGGTCGGAGAACCGAAGTTAGGGAACAATGCTTGAATGATCATGGTCGAGCGATGATTGTCGAAAGTTTGTAGCCACGTGATGGTGGTCAAAGGTTTGTTGTTGAACAACAACGGCGATAGGTATAAAGTTCGAAAAAAATAATGATTTGCAAAAAAAAAACCCTTTAGTGCTAAAATTGCAAACACTTCCATGATTCCAAACAATAATGCAACGATCGCCAAAATAAAAAAAATTATGCTTTTATAACATTTTTTTTTAATATTTGAAAAATCTAATTTATGCCCACCCGCCCCCTCACTCCCAACTTCACTTTGTAAATAAATGAAGAATAATACTTCATGTTTGTAATTCATAAAAATTTGCATGAAAATAGTTTCTAGTATGCATCTTGATAGCACATAGTAAAAAACTTATTAAGCCATCAGATTTATTGATCTCGGATTTCATGGCCATTATACTTTACAATATGCTCTAATATTAATTTGTTATAGCTAAATGCTAAACTAAATATGAGAGAGCATCCAAGTTCATAGTTTATTGAACAATAAATAAACATAGAAAAGATCACACAGAGATGCAAAATAAAGCCTATATCTACAAGAAATGGGATGAAATCCACTAAACACATGAAGCCATAGAAGATGCATAATATACATAGAATTTTGTTAGACCGATCCAGCAGATCCTATGGGACCTGCCCATGCGAAACAGAGGCGAAACTTCTCCGCCTCTACTGTATGTCGATCCAAGCGCAAGAGCCAAAAGAGCACTTTTGGAAGGTTTTTTTGAGAAAGTTTAGGAGGGAAATTGAATGTATGGACTGTTTAGAGTCTTAGAGATTTCCTTTTGAATTGTATTTTGGGAGAGAAATATACTCCTCTCGAATAGAGGATCTTTGCTTTATTTCTTCCGTTAGTTTGATTTCTTCAATAAAAATCACATTTTTGTTGTTTTTTCTATTGGATTTGCGGAGCAAACTACTGTTTTTGCCTCTCTTGATAGAATTTATTTAAAATTTTCAAGTATTTTCTATCAAATATTTGATAGCACTTCCCAAAATCCAAATACAATAGCTCTCAACTATACTTACAGATTAATATCAATCTCCAAGATGATAATGTTGATTAAAATCCTTTTAACTGATTTTACTCGTTCATTCTGAAATCAACCAATATCAATGTATTTATACATGCGAGTTGCTCATAAAATTTTAGCTAAAGAGTGGATGCCATTGTTGAGCTTCACTTCAATGACCTGCAAGGAGAAAGCAAGCAAAGCAAAAACTAGAGGAAGGAAAAACTATTCTGAGGAGAACAATGGCTCCTGTGCTTGTTCCATTTCAGCCGAATCAAAGGCTAATATAAAATGCCTAATACAACCTGAGTATAACGGCTAAAGCCTGTGTTAGCCGCAGTGGACAGAGAATATCAGGAAGTGGAGTATATGCTGACATTGACAAATAATGGAACAAGATAAGTAAGATGTGCTGAGAGTATACTCTAACAGCCATGATCACCTTCAAGCTTGCAAACCCTTGAGAAAGATCTCATGTAGATGCCTTGGGTGTTCATGCAAATTGAAAATGAAGTAAGATCACTTGCCCCTATGTAGAATCATTCCAGACGCAATTCTCAGAACTCCAAATCCCATGAGATCTGTAGCATGTGGAATCAGAGGCTGATTGACACACAAAACAAGTCCCCATTTCAGATTTTCAGTATGTCCATAAACCTCAATCCTCAAGAGGAATTATTCCATGGACCTTAAGGAAATATATCCTTTGTAATGTTCAACAAGAATAGCTAGATTAAGGTTGTGTTTGGGACAATATTTTTTGCTTCTTAAAATGACTTTCAAGTATAAAAATTAAAAAAATTTAACTAAAAAACTGCTTTAAAAAACAGTAAGAAACATGTTCCAAACGGAGCCTAACTTGTTCAAACGTGACAAAATTATGAAATTTTATTGGCAATAAATATTTATAAAATTAAGGCTTTATTTGCGATAACTTGAATTTAAAAAAAAATTAAAAAATTATTTTAAAAGCAGTAAAAAAATTATCCCAAGCCAAATTTAAATCCTACTTGACAAACTTATAGTAGCTAACCTAACAACAACAACACACACAGATAATACAAACTTACAGCAAAACTAATCCATTTGCTAGCTCTTGATCAACGAGAGACAGTAGTTTCTCCATCTTCATTATCAACAAAAGATTCTATGGTCATTTCTTTACTGCTTTCTCCCTTCTCTTCATTCCTCAATGAATGAACCGCTGAATTCTGACTGCCTATCATATTCTGAAGTGCAGTTGGCAATGGAGGCATGTTCACTTCTAAAGCTCCCTCCAGTATCTGAACAACCTGCCCCATTCCAGGCCTTAGACCCTCCGAGTCCTGAATGCACCAACATGCAACTCTACATACCCTCGTCAACTGCTCCACATCAACATCTTCCAATCTCTTATCCAATAAGCTCTTAACATCTCCTTCCACAATCTTTCTTGAAGCCCATGAAGGATAAAATGCCAGACTTCCATCATCAGAATGCATGTTGTTTCTCTTACCAGAAACCACTTCAAAGATCATCATTCCGTAGCTATACACATCAACTTTCGGTGTGATTGGGAGCCCTGAAATCCATTCTGGTGCAAGATAGCCTACAGTGCCCCTCATTGTCGTTAGCACCTTACTGAAATCTCTTCCAATAAGCTTGGCCATTCCAAAGTCTGAAACTTTGGGGTTATAATCTGCATCCAATAGCACATTGTCAGGTTTTACATCACAGTGCACTATGCATTCCCTGCACTCCTCATGAAGGTAAGCCAGTCCTCTTGCTGTTCCTAGAATGATCTGGAACCTTATCTCCCAGTTTAGCTCAGTGGGGCTGTCGCTGAAAAGCTGGGAATCAAGAGAGCTTCTTGGCATGTATTCATAAACGAGTAGCCTTTTGTTGCCGACAGAGCAGAATCCATGGAGTTGAACTAGATTAACATGTTGAATTGAGCCAAGAGTGCGAACTTCTGCGCGGAATTGCTTCTCTCCCTGCACCGCATCTTCAAGTTTCTTGACAGCTACTGGTATGGAGTTAGGAAGTATTCCTTTGAAGACTGAGCCAAAGCCCCCACTTCCAATTTTTTCGCTGAAGTTCTTGGTGATTCGTTGCAGATCACCATAGCTGAACTGCACCAAAGAGCCTTCTACCATTGCAGCCTGGCCTCTTATCTTCCTTCTTCTGCATAGCCATACGAGGCTGAAAACAATTACCAAGATTACAACTCCTCCAGCAACTGCACCAACAACCACAGCAACTACATTTGTGTTTGAGCTGCTTGGACTTGGAAGGTCAGAATCTGCGAGGCGAAGATTCAGAGTTCCTCCATTCTCACCACCAACATTAGGTTGCTGAAGGTTCCTGAGTTCCCCTTTCCAAATTGAGCAGCCAGTCCCATAAACATAAGCAGTGCAAGAACAATTTTTTAAGCAAGCTTCTTTGCATTCCACTTCATTCGTCAGATTCAAACTCTCTGGAATATTTGCAGGCAGCCTCATGTTAGGCATAGGAAAAAACCCATCTTTTTCGCATTGTAACTGCGATTTCCTCAAGCAACCTGAACTCCAATCTGTGTTTGCCCATTCTTGCTCTGAAGCAGGCTTAAAACCTTCAGCACACCTGCAAATTGAATCTGGATTCTTTTCATCACATACACCAAACGGTCCACAAAGAGAGTAGACATCGCAGTGAGCTAACGGTTGGGTAAACTCTGTCTGCCACTGTTGTGTGTTATTAATCCAAAACCATTGCTTGCCTTGCCCTTCAGAATCAACTACAAATCGCGTAAGTATATAATCCATAACCATCGTGTATGTGGCAAACTTTCTCTCTTTGTTGTCAACGAAAGTAAAGTTGAAGGCTGTTTTTTCTCGGGTTCCTGGGACGTTAGAGAAGTACTGGCCATTCCATAGACCGCTGCTCCAGTAGATGTTTGAACCATTCCAGATCAGAACATATTCGTCCGAGCCATCAGGGTTCATGCTCTGCCCGAAGAGGCCAGGCGCAGGGTCCTCAGTACTCTTCCATGATGTCAAACTCTGGTACTCTCCAGTGATTTTGTTCACACCAAGCCATCCTCCAGGCATCCATGTATCCGTCGGATGAGCGAAGCTCTGCCAGAGATCAACTTCCGAGTTTGAATCATTTCTGAGGACAAGATTCCCTGTATCGAGCAGGATGGCTATGTTAACTTTAGCAGTGGAATTCGATGACCAGATTGGAGATTTGGCGCTGTCGAGGAGGACGAGATTGCCAAGATCTGAGATTTGGAGCTTTGAAGTAGTGGGATCAGAGACGGGAGCTTTTCTGTTTGCTACCCAGAAGATCGTTTGGCCTGGGAGTTTATTGTACCAGACCCCTATGTAGAACTTGTGAGAGTTGCCAGGCGTGAAAAAGCCAAGAGCAAAGGTGCCATCTTTGGAGACTAAAGTCTGGTTTCCTGAGAGGGATTGGCCAAGAGAGAGGCTGTTTGTTGCCATAGAAATTTTGGTGTTGAGAAAGAAGGCTGTAAGTAGAAGTAGTTTTGAAACAAATTTGTATGGACTGATGTTAGCTGCCATGGTTTCTGAATCATAGGCAGAATTCAACTTCTAATGCCAATCAGAAAGTGAAATAAGGTTCTTTGATTGAGTTTTAATGAAGAATTTGGGTTCTTCTTGACAGCCTTCGTGGAGATGATAATGATGATTTTTTTTTGGAAATTATTACATGCGTCGCAGACACTTATAATAGCTGCAAATTATGTGTATAGATGTCAATACTGCACAATCTGTATGGTAGCGCGCAGCGTGTATATAGGAGTAGAGAGAGGGAGAGAGACAAATACATCTTGGCAGCAAAAACTACAGAAGAAATGCAACAGAAGCAGCGGCTGTTTAATGAACTGGTTAGAGGAGACGCTGTTATTTAAAGGAAGAGGTACGCTGAATTTATTGTCTTATACGTTACTGAGATTTATTTCATTGTATTATATTATTAAATGATGTTATTGTTGGGAAGAAAACACACAGTCAGTCAGTCACTGTTTCTTGGAAAATTATTATGTCCGGTATCCGGATTCGTCTGGACATCAATCCAGACGTGCCATGTCATCCAAATACATCAGAGTCCAGTGTATCCAGGTGACGTGGCATGTCTGGATTGGATGTTCTAATTCGCCCTGTTTTTTAAAATAGATTTTAATACACAAATTATAATTTTTATATTAAAAAGCTACTTTAAGAGCATCTCCAACTGAAAATCCTATTTTTCAATGTAAAATACAACAAAACTCCAAAATGTCGTAATTCTGCTCCAATCAAACTCCATTTCAAGGGCTTCGTCGTCTCGTAACCGTCTTTCTCCATTTCGCGGGTAAATCCCATTGACACATAAAAATTTAGCGGATGAACAGTGCTACGCCTATTTTGGGGTTCCACAGTTCACTTGCTATGAAATAGCGGCAAAATTGCCGCTCGGTTGGAGCGATGGAAGAACGGCAAACAATGATTTGCCGTTCTATTGGAGATGATCTAAGAAGCAGTAAGAAAACTACTACGCCAAAAACATTCACAATGAAAACTACTACATTTTTTTTTCTCTCCTCACCTCTGTATTCGTTCTATATACAGAATTGACAACAAGATGCTTTACAATAGATGATTTTTCAAAGTCTGAACCATAGCTGTAGAAGATATTTTCTTGAACCAGCAGTTTAGAGAAGCTTTATGAGGTCTACGAGGCAGTGACTATAGCTTTCAGCTTTCAATGCTTGTCCACATAAGTTCAAGGTAATTACACTAATTACTATTGATTATTGACTTAATAAATCCCTAGCGCTAATTAATTACATTGAGATATCACTAATCACATGGACTAATGGTCCTTAGCTGCGTAAATGTTAAGGCCAAAAGATGGCAAATTGGATCAAACAGCCCTGGTCAATAAAAGACAGCTGTGTTATTTAATTTCCGAAGGACAACTATTTCTTAAAGGAGAATTCATTTTGATTTTCAACTATTGATCTGAGAAAAGCAAGAAGAAATTCTGCATGTTAAATTTCTCTCCTTACTTTCTTTGGGAGATTTTTTTTTTTAATTTTACTAATCTTTTATAGTAAAATTATTAACAAAAAATAATAATATACATTAACATGATAATTTTTTCACATATTTTTTAAATTTATGCCTGTTGCGTGCTAGAATATACGCGGCGGTAGAGTTTATAAATATTCGTCTTAGCGTTGCACGAGTATTCCGCACACAAACAGAAAAGAGAAGTGAACACCAAAGGTTTTTACGTGGAAAACCCAAAAAGGGAAAAAACCACGCTGCTTCGCCTTCAGTTCATCTCCCTCGCTCGCTCGGGTAGGTATTTTCTTCTCCATTTCACCGTCTCTTTTTCATATTCGAGGACAACAGGTAACATAGAACGGTGTTCGGCCTCCTATCGCGTAGGTTTGTTGTTCTTCTCCATTTCAATATATAGGTTTGATGTGTTCTTCTTCATTTCAATATCTAGGTTTGATGTTTTCTTGTACATTAGAATGCATTTTAGGTGTAATGGCCTGATAAGGGAGATGTCTAGGTTTGATGTATCGTTATGTTTGTTAAGGTTGTTGTTTTGACCCATTTCGGCACATCTCTCCACTACATCAATCAAATCCATCTCAGCAGAACATATCAAAGAACTAATTCGGGATTCTTACCTTGTCGCCAGTGGCGGAGGGAAGGGGGGCCAAGAGGGGCACGTGCCCCCCCTAAAAAAAAATAATTCAATTATAAGTGTTTCCAACCAATTACCACCATCAAAGGAGAACAAGGAAGAGCAAAAGTTCACATGTACATTTTTTATATATGAGAGAAATTGATTATTTTCTCTTATATGCATGCTAGATAAGAGAAAGAAATAATTTGATTAATTTATTTTTCTAAATCAAGACTAAGCTATTGATATATCATCAAAAATAATATTGATCGGGCACGAATTTTGGAAAAAAACAAGTTGGAAACTTCAAAAATTAAATCGGAGACCATCTAAACTTCGATTTCAATAAACTTATAGTCGAACTTAACGTCTCAAAATACGAACCCAACAACACCAAATTCGACTCAATCCGAGCACAAATGAGTCCAAATCAAGGACCCGAAATACATTTGGAAGATTCAAAACATAATTTGGATGATCAAACAGTTTTCAAAATTTATTTGCTTATAAAATCGAGCGGCTCGATGAGACGAATCCAATGAGCTAAAGATAGTTTATTTTTGATATCATTAAGCTATATTTTTATTCAAATTTATGCTATGCAATCAATAAATTTCCTTTTTTTCTATATTTTAAAGAATGTTGAGTAAAACTAATTTAAATATCTTTCGCTCCTCTCTTGCCTCTAAAGACAGACCCCATGGTAATGAAATAGCAAACAAAATTATTTTAATTTAGGACCCCTCTAAATAAAATTTCTGGCTTCGCCACTGCCTGTCGCAACTACCTCTCATCGCTACCAGGGAGGAAGGACTTGAACGAAGCTATGCTCCCAAAGCAGAGTGATTAATTTTGATCTTTAATCCTTAATTTCTTATTTGAGGTTGACAGATGGTTGAATGAGAACCAGTGCAAGATATAGTTGCTTAGATTTTCTTCTCAAATTTTAACATATTCGAGTTATGTTTATCGGATTGGTTTTATTTATAGTATATCATTTAGTTGATTACAAATTTGTGTTTGTTTTGTTATTGCAGCAATTTGGGATATATGACATGACTTCGCCGCTCGACTCCATCAACGAGAAGCCTAAACAATGCAATCTATTGTCGTTGTAATCTGCAATGTCAAATCTATACTTGCTACAAAGCTAATAATTGCGGAGTAAAATTCTACAGATGCCCCTGAAATAGATCGGAAGATGATTGTAAAAGTGGATTGATGAAGAAAATGATGAGCTAGAAGATATGAACCGCTTAAGTAGTGGAAAAGCATCAGAAGGTCATTTCAAGCTTGCAGTTTTAGTTACATTTGAGTTGCTTCAAAATAAATTCTTATTGGTTATCATGATTTTACTTGTTGTTGTTATTGTCGTCAATTCGATATCGAAGACTTGTAGTTGCAAATGAATGTAACTTAGAATGTTACGAAGAAAATCTAATGTACTTGATTTTGTTATTAAATATCCTTCTTTTCTAGGTCAACCGCGTGCCTTTCATGAAGATCCTCAACTTCAGCTCTACTCAATGTTGACTGGCGAATTATAAAATGCTCTTTCCTAGTTGTGATGTCCCTGATGTACTCTTCCACATGAGGAACTAGTTGACCTCTCCAAGAGGAGGAAATTAGATTTCCTTGCGATTGTTGTTCCGTAATCTTTGCCCTAATCATGTCAACCAAATCAACGACTGGCTTAGTTCTAGCTTCTTCAACCCATACATTAAATGATTCTGACATGTTGTTTGTATTGGAGTGATTTTTAATGTGCTTTGAAAATGTCGCCTTAGACCACTTGCATGACAAATTATTCAAATACGAGTATACTTGTGGACTGATTTTGAAGATCTCTTCAAGTTTCATATGCAAAACATTTAGGTTATAAGTGTTTGATACCGTCCAAACCATATGTTATTGTGTACAAACCATTGTTTCCATCCAAACAATTTGCGGATAGCAATACACCAAGATACTTTGATTTGAGGTGGCAAGCATCAACCCCAATTAAGAATCTACGTCCAACAATGAAAACATCAATACATACTTTGAAGCTAACAAAGAACATATTAAATGCATTTCCTTTGCTTTCACATATGTATTTAATGTGAGAGCCAGGATCCCTGTTGATTAACTCTGACCTCAGCATAGGCACCCACATGTAGTTATTATCGACAAAACCAAACATTACATCTCTTGCCGACTCTCTTCATTTCCAAATTTTCATATATGGCAATGATAACCCGTAAGTTTTCTCCAAGTTATTGCTAATTTCTTTTGGTGTGATATCAGGAGTTCTCTTGACAATGTTCTTGATTTCATGAGCCATCCAACTAGTTGTAGCTTGCTTGTTTCCGACTCTATTAACCCCAGGGCATAAATGTGTTGATTTTATTTTTCTAACTTCAAAGGAGTGACCATCACGAGACAATGATGCACGTACTCTCCATGGACAACCTCTGTATTCCCAAGTAACTATAACTATGGATTTGTCACTAGCCTTAATCTTTATAGCATAATTCTTAAAATTTGCATCAGACCGAACTGCTTGCTTCAAACTTTGGGCATTTTGAAACAGTGAACCAACAAAAAGACTGTTTGCCTCATCAATTTGGGGTATAAAGAAATCATTGCACAAATCATCTACGACAATACCAATATCTTCTCCAATCATCGAGCTGAATTGATGCATTTTAGTCAACTGTTTGTCTATTTTAGTTTGATTGTTTTTTGATTGGGATATATCTTCTTCGAGATATTTCATTGTAACCGTCACCTCAATTTTATTCCTTTCATAAGAACCGCTAAGCATGTCAACTACATCTGCATCAGTTAAAATCAATTTGTAATTCTTAAGTGATGTCCCATTAACATGATAGAGTAAGTCGAATGGTTGACCCCGTATCCAATGACAAAGTGCTTGAACTCGTCCTTTTTGCAACATTAAATTGGTTTCATCTATCTGAAGCTTTAAGGTTTTATGCTTTCCACTCACATGCTTTGTTCGACTCTGACTGTGCACTTTACTCCAATATCCACCAAATTTGATGAGAATGAAGCAAAAATTACTTATATTCATCTCAGTTTATGTGAATAAATTGGGATTTAGCAACAGTAAAAAATTAAATCAACGGATTAGAATGTACACTAGAATGTAGACACCATTACCCGAGATTGTGTTTGTCGCAGAAAAATGCATCTGTTTGTCACAGAAAAAAAATTTA